AGGTCAGAGCTGCTTGTTGTAGAGAGTCTATGAGAGCATGATATGAGAATGTTGGAATTTTCCTCACTGATCACTTGTACCTTACATACATGTACCTCTGGCTAGAGAGAGGCACAAAGTTGTGTTTTGCCCAAAAACCCAGCGCAATGGCCCTGGAGAGTACTTTCACCTGCATTGCTTAGTTTAACACGAACCACTTGGAAAGTTAAGCTGCTCAAAATTAATAATTATTATCTCTAAGTAGTGTAACACAGCCTTGACACATGATGTCTTCTCTTTTTTTCAGGGGCCGTGCAAGGGGGGCATACTGGTATTCTCCATATTGATGACTGCAAGAAATCATCGTTCACCCTAAAATTAGCAGCATATATTGTTTTTGCTTTTTCAGTTTCTTAGCATTTCTATCCTATGCATATTTTTAACAGAGGTCAGTTATTTTTGTCTTCACAGGTTTCTTGGCTATTCTCAAGGGACCGCACAGTGAAGCTTATGGGTTTTCAAACAAATGTGTTGCTCTGCCACTTTCACTGTGGATTTATAAACCAGAGTAGGTATAGTGACTTGGACAAGCTTTGACTGAAGGGACTGACAGTGCAAGAAAAAGATGTAAAAAGAATAAAAGAAAGAAAAGAATCTAAGAAAGGAAGGAAAGAAAAAAAACATTAAAAAAAGAAAAAAAATCTTGTGGAATGTTGCAGACTGAAGTAAATGAGAAAAGGTACTGCACGTGGAGAGATGAGAGATTGTGTCTTGAGAGAAAAAAAAGACAGATACAGTTACTTGAATGTATGTTTTAGTTGAAATTTGTACTAAATGCATTAAACTAAAATGCATTCCCTTTTAATATCCAGCTTTGAAAAAAACATCAATAAAGATTTTGTAAAAATGCATTTTCTTTGTAATGCTGTGCTGTACATCTAACATGTAGATCTTTTGGAACAGAGGTGGGTCAGGCAAAGAATCTCAGTTGACCAGTTTGATCCTTGACTGGTGAGATCACATATAAACATAGTCATTCCCAACAAGACACCCACATATAAAGCTTTGTATTTCAAGAACCAAGATCCTGGTCAAATGGGACCTCTTTATTTTTCTTGATTACTTCATAACTATATACATCAATGCCCTGATATACAGGGCCCCTATGGATACCAGCCTTTGAGTTGAATGGGCTACCCTGTAGAAATAAATAATTTATATTTAAGAGTCTCCTCTCTCTTTGGAACTCTTGAAGGGTTGCATTAAAAGAGACAAGTGACATCTGATAGACTGCAAGATTCTCGTAGCAAATTGCTTTCTGCTTCCTTCAACCAAAAAAGGAGAATTTGGCATGAGATCAAGAGTCAGGGCTTTTTTCCACGCACCCCTTCAGTTGACCACTTGTGCACGTTGCTTGATTGAATTTTATTAGAAATTCAGTCCTTAACACCTTGGAACACTGAAGGTACCTTCTGCAGGGGTTTCAATAACATTAGTTATAAGTGGCCACTGAAGGTGTAATAGGTGGCTGTGACCACTAAATGGGCCGTAAGGCCCGTTTTCCCTAGGGGGTCTGGTGGTATGCTCCCCCAGAAAAATTTGAAATCTGGAAGCTCGGAAATGCGATTTCCAGCGTTCTGGGCATCAAAAAGCTTGCTGTTGATGGGTATTTTTATTGACCACAAAGTGGGATTTTTTTTGACAAACTAATAATTTTTTGATGCAAAGAGGTGCATTTTGAATACCTTTCCAGGCAGATATCTCTCAGTGACACTTGATATCCACTTAGGCAGTAATTTCTTTGAAGTCCTTTCTTAAAACAAGAACAACTTCTCTGCTACTCATTCAAATGTACCAACACGGCAACAAACTGATTTTCAACTCTTCAGAAAAAAATGAAATGAGATAAACTTTACAACAAAATTCTTTCCACTAATATTCTTACAAAATCAAACCTCATTTTCAACTTTTCATTGATTCTCCTACGGTTCATTATTAAGGTTTACAATAATCGTAAAATAATAAAAATTAAATCATATTAAACATTCAGATGTCTTGGGTATCCTGAGATGAACAGTGATAACATTGATCGGCAACTACAAACAACATGTACACTATTTCTTTGGAAAGGTTAGTTTGCCCGCTTTTTTGTAGCATTTAACAATCTCAGTGGTTGTCGTTGTTGTATTTGCTTTTTTTTATTAATATCATTTTTATTTTCATTAATGAAATCCAAACAGACGGCGGTAAGAGGTCCTACAGGCAGCGGTAGACCGCCGGTAACCGGCTTTTATTGAAACCCCTGCTTCTGTAGTCAGATGTGACTTACCGCCACAGCCAATAAATGGCTGCCACAATATTAAAAACAACCCACAGCACAAGTTAACAAACCCATGAGAAAAAAACAGTACTTTGGATCTGCTTGTAGTTAGTCTAGTCCCTTCACCTTGTTTTTGGTGCCATTTTTAAACAGGGTTTCTTCTCTGTCTCTACTCAAGTACAAAAAATGTGCTGACTATTTTGCTCCTTTTATTCTTGAGAGGAAGATGTTCACCAGCTGATAGGCTGTTCACAAGTTGCCTTTTGCCTCGGCATCAAAAGGAGTCCGTACGAAACCATGTGAATATGTGTTCTGCCTACAGGCTTGAGCTCGTGCAAATCATACTTCTCTTCATATGAAGTGTTTTGCACAAGGGCTTGTTTTATAACAGAGGCACAAGGTAACTCGCAAATGGTGTATTGGTCTTCTTCTAGGCCTGGAACTAGCTGGGGTCTTGTAACATAACATCCTAGCCTCTTACCAGATATTTTGCATTCTGCTTTTGCATACCAGAGTCAATTCAAGACAAATCTAAGTAATTGGACGCTTTTACAAGTCTTATTGACCAAGTAAAAGCAAAAGCACCACAAGTTGTTATCTATAATGCTAACACATGTTCTTTGACCCTGTTTTGGAACTGAATATCTACAGTTCATAAATTTCACCACTGGGAAAGACTCTTGACGTCAAAGACAGCCTTGTTTAAATTCAACAGAAACAATGACAATCACAAATGTTGTATATTTTGACAGGCAATATGATTACATTTCCCATTTTTCTGGCGTGTTGATTTCAATATCAGAAACCTTTTGGCTCAACACTGGGTTTTCAATTTATTTCTGGTAATTTGTAGAGGTTTAAGATCAGGTTGCCTCCGATTTGTGTGATATCTAGTAGTTTATCCTGTTGCTGATTAATCTTGTTTCATCATTTTTACAACTGTATCTTCAAACTTCCTGAAGGAAAAAAGTAAAATGTGTTAATCAACTTAGATCAGGTAAATCATTCTATGATAAAGTTGCAAAAATTCCTTGGGTACAATTTTGCAGCAAATGCCATGCCTAATACCTTGTGGGAAGAAGTTAAGGTCAGCGTCTTCTGGTTTCACAGATTGAGGGAGAATAAATCAAAATTTAAAATATTATGTGGCATAATATGCATGCAAAGAGTTGTCTCCTATGTAGACGTCCTTCTGGGTTGTCACGCATTCTTTCCCTCATTGGAGGGGAAAGATCATTAGAACTTCCGCAAAGGAGGCTATGCAGAGGGCTACAGCCACACAGTTATTTACAAGCACTTAGCTTCTATAATGGTAATTCAAAATATAATTCTACAACTTGCTCCCACCATAAATGATTAGCCTGCAGAGCCACCCTGAAAGACATTCAGTATTTTCTAAAAAACTGTTTTGGCCTACAATGTAAAATTAACAAACAGCAAAATTTAACTTACCGTGATGTTATATTTTCTCCAGGGTTATAGAAAGGATTGCAAAACATGTCTGTGTATGCTACATGAAGCCTTCGAAACATCTAACAGAGTAAAGAAAGAGCACCGTCATGTTATTATTATCATTATTCAACTTTCATACACTGTACGAATTGCGATTTTCTGATTGGCTGATTTGTACCACGTGATACTGGGTTGTGATGACACAACCACCTTGACTTCATTATCGTAGTGTAATAGCCATGGTTTAATTCAACGCACCACTGTCATTACACCATGGCTTCGACTGACTCAAATATAGTGGTTTCAATGCAGTGTTTCTTTGTGCAGTGTATTCAATTTGAATAATAAAAATGTTAACACACTCATTGTTTGTGAATTATCGGGATTTACCTGTACTTGTTCATGAACTATGAACTCGAAATTTTCAATACTGCACAAGGCAAAGTGTCAAAATTTTCAATACCGCATGAGGCAAAACCTCGTGCGGTATTGAAAATTTTGAGTTCATTGTTAGTGAACTTGTGCAGGTAAATCCTGATAATTCACTCACTGAGTGCATTAACCTGTAATTATTCTAGTTCTGGTTATAAAGCAATTCAATGGGCCAAGTCTGAGTTCCCTTTGCTGCTGTGTCAAAACAAGTCTTTGTGCAAAACTATTCATTCATATGAAAATGTGTTCAACCTGCAGGCTCACTTTCATGCAAATCATTTTTATATGAAAGGTTTTGCACGAGGACTCGTTTTGAACAAGGCGCAAGGTAACTCAGAAATGGCCTATTGGTTTTCACATGAAATTAAAAACAAGAACAAGCATAAGGGTAACTAATTGCTGTCAAGTGGAATTTTAATAGGTCTGGATAGCAGGAAGATAACAGTTAATTTCAAATAAATGACGTTACACCAATGAAGGCAGTTAGAAGTTTCTGCCAAAACATGTCTGTAAATTTTAAAATTGTCGTCGTTTATTTGAAAAGAATACCTTAAAGAGTGGCTTACCGTTCTTATCTCGTTATCTCTTAAGGCAGTATTGGCTGACTCAACAACAACAACAAACTTGATTTTAGAGTTTGTGACATAACCATATCTTTAGAACACAGTCAAGGCTTTTTCATTTCAAAGGGCATGTAAATCTGATAATTTTTCTTAAACCCTGAGTTGCAGATGTTTATACAGCTACTTCAGATATTAATAATATAATAGATTGTTTCATGTTTCACGCTTACTCGCTTGGTTGACTATACATGATTGTGTTGATCTGGAATGACTTTTTTTCCTTTTAAGAACAAACGTGTTGTTATGATGTACATGTATCTTGCCCAGGTGCTCTAGCTCTTCCCCTCCTGTTCAGAATCTCTCATAAACCTGCTGTCCTTGTATGTGTGTACTAGATACAGCTGAGCTTGATATTAGGATCTTCACGACAAAAAGGATACACTTTATAATCTTCTGTGGGGTATAACAATCCAAGGTATAGCTCTCGAGGATCATTTGAGCTTTTAGTGAGTGATGATACTGGAAAATTAACACAATATATTTTGATAATTTTTGAGAATAATTTATTAGAAATTAAACACACAGGAGGAGCTCTTATGCCTGCAATAAATTCTTATGCTTGGATCAATAATCGCTAGCAAAAACCAAGCTTAACTTGTATGTGCTTCCATCTTCAACTAGGCTAGACCAGCCTTTGTCTCCACCACCCCCCCCCCTCCTCCCACCAAAACGAAAGAAAAACAAACCCACCCCACAAACCTGAAGGATGGCAAGTTTTTGCTGTCACGTACAAGGCAAATTCCTTGGTTTAGGGGTGGAATGGAATGCCACATCTCATGAAAGAGCCTTTATAACATAGGTCATAATGCTATAGCCCAGCCCGGCGTTCTTCTTCGACAACATTTCTCTCGGAGTAAAGCTTGGTGGGGAGGGGGAGAGATGTAGCGGAGGACGAATAAGCCACCAATGCAAATCTCTCTCTCCTTCTCTCGAGAAAAGAAAGTGCGAGCTTACTTAACGTACGTACTAACCTTTCATTTCCAATAAATTGCAAAACTTAAAACCTATTAAACTCACCCTTCTCTTCAACAACATCCAGCGAAGTATGGACTGTGTAGTGAAATTTTAGCTCTTCTTCTGGTGAGACTGTCCGTAGAAACAACGGATAATTCTGCAAAAGATCAGATTTCATCAAATGGAAAAACGCTTGCTAAATAGCTAAGAACAAGTCATGTTTACCTCCTTCCCTATCACGGCCACGCAGACCGCCATCTTGGTTTGAGGAAGTTTACCGCTGACAAATCAGACAGAGGGCTTACTTTCGTAGACTGATGGTCTCGACTGATGGAAGAATAAGGGGAACGGGAACACGTGATATTCCCGTGAGGAGGGAGGACTTGCCTAGCAGAAACTTCTTTACGCTCTTGCACGAAAGCCAAACAACTAAACGGCGAAAGAATGATGCTTACAGTGCTAAAGATTTGGAGTGTTGCTTGTTTGTTGTGGGTAGCAACAGCTGTTGAGAGAAATGAAAAGCCTAACGTTGTCATAATGCTGATGGACGATGTGAGTAGCAGGAGTTGTGGAAAATGTTCAAACAAATTTTAATTATGCAAGAGCTATATTAATGTTTAGCTTATCACTTGGTCCTCTCAACCTTGATCTCCTTTTATTTGAGTCAGTTTAAATCCTTCAGAAGGCGTCACGAATGCTGTGTATTTACGGCTGTTTTAGTGCGTTGGTTGTACCTCATGCCTGTACAAATGTTGTTTGGTTGGTCGTTGACAGATGACAGTTTAAAAGGATGAGGGAGGGGAGGTTGATCGATGGGAGGGAGGGGGGAGTGCTAGGTATTTTCTACCCCAGTTTCAGCTAAAACCCCTTAGTAATTGTGGCATTCTCATGTCAAATAAGTACAATTACATCCAAACAGATGATTTTCTTTGATTTTTTTTGTAATACTTTGGCCTAAAATCTCCAGATGTCACTTCCTTCAAGTTTGCTACTGAAAGTTGTTCCATGTTTTTAATGTATTTGTTAGTGGATGACTATGGAATTCTCCAGTCACATACATATCAACTGTATGTATTTTACAGAACATTTTAGGTCCAAAAATAACTAGTCTGAACTCAGCCATCTTCTTATGCTTGACCACAGAGGGGTCCAGGTTAGATCGTCCCTCTCATCTGGGCCCCTCACTGGTTAACCACGAGACGATGGCTGACACTTCACATTATAAAATAATATGATTGATGACAGATCAGTGAAATACTTTAGTCCCTAGCCTGCAGTCCATCTTTCAGGTAGTCAAGCAGATGTGATGAGCGACCAAGTAAATGTAACCTCACAGGAGTATACTGATGAATTAAAATGCACTGTTGCATTGTTATCTGTTTTGCTCTCAATGGAATAGATGGGGTGGGGAGACTTGGGCGTATTTGGTCAGCCAGCTAAAGAGACACCTAACCTTGACAAGATGGCAACAGAAGGGATGCTCTTTCCTGATTTCTATAGCGCCAATCCACTTTGTTCTCCATGTAAGTGATCAGTCCTTTCTACTGTAGTTGTGAGTGAAAAAAAAAAAAAAAAGAAATCCACACGAGCTGGTGGCATACTGTAGCTCGATACTTACAGAGATCCATGAACTCAACAAATGCATGATCGGATTTTTTCTTATTCAACATACAACACAATTTCAAAATAATAAAAAAAGAAAAATTTACAAAAAATTAATTATGTAACAACTTACAAAGAACAAAAATTATAACTAGTTAAAATAGCTAACTGATAAGATCTACGAATTACAGTCTTCCAATTGCTCGCAAGAATCGAATAAAACAAAAGTGCTCTAAAGAGTAACAAGGTCTCAAGTTTTCCCAATTTTAAGAAAAAACTGCAAGAGTTTTTAGTAAAATAATTACTGAACTGGCAAAACCACACACTGTTGCACTATTTATGTAACCGTATTGTTACGTACGAGGTGGCCTCAACTAAAAGCCTGATGGTTTCTAGAGATCACCTCGCCTCACATTAAAATATTTATAAATACTGTGCATTAATTAAAAGGGCAAAATAAACAGAATGAATGAATGAATGAATCTTCTTTTTGTCTGTCCTGAGCTTGTTTTTCAAAAATTTGAGATAGGAAGTAAAACAGAAAGGGTCTTCATTTTTTGCAGAAATATAGATGTAATTTCTGGCCACAAGCAAGCAGTAGTTAATGCCTAAAAAAGACTGTTTTCTGGGATGAAAAGCAAATAGAATATCACGCTGTTTGAGTTTGATTTGCATGTTTTATTTACAATTCCACCAAGAAGTGAAATCGGTCCAAAATACTTTACTAAAATCACATTCAACAAAGAGATGGGTCAGTGTTTGACTGCCACTGGAAAGGTAACAGTTGTTGTTCTCTGTTATCTTATCTCTTAAGAGTCTCCTTTTTGTGTACAGAATGTTGTGGTTAATCTTAAATTGAAAAACCGATGTTCTGACATCGAGAGTTAGTTTGACAGGAAGCTTGTAAATATGTGAAATTTGCATGATCAGAACTACATGTAGCCTCTGAAGCTTGTTCCATGCACTTGTTTAGTTGGGGGTAGATTGAAGTCTAATAGAGAGCAGAAGAAAGCCCATTGCTTTTTTTTCCATGCCAGATGGTGTGACATTTTCAGACTGAAATAGCATCAGCAGGAAAATCAAGATTTGTTAAAAATGTACAGTAGGAAAATTATACAGTTCTAATTTGTCCTTTGTACATCACATGGCGCTGAGAATGCCAGTCACTTTGCTTACTAATTATTTTATTTTTTGGAATTTTTCTATTTGGTTTGTCCTAACAGCACGTGCAGCACTGCTTACTGGACGCCTTCCAATTCGTAATGGATTTTACACAACTAATGCTCATGCTAGAAATGGTTAGTATACATTTGTGTTCATGCACTGTGTGGTATTTGAGACTGGTCCTTTCACCCAGCGAGAATTTTTCTTGGTTGTAGGTTACACACCACAAATCATTGTTGGAGGAATTCAGGATAATGAAGTGCTTTTACCAAAGCTGCTTAAGTCTGAAGGATACAGCAGTAAATTAGTAGGCAAATGGTGAGTTTGATTCTGCTGTAGCTAACTAAAAGAAGAATAGTTTTGCCACATGAAGGAGGTTATTGATTTATAGGAGTTGGTCTCAGATAATTTGTAAAAAGTAATAATATGTGGTTGCATGCGTGGGTGGTTGGTTTGAGAGGGGCGGTCTCTCTGAAAAGAAATGTTGATAATGTTTGATTTTGCCCTGACTAAACTATTTCATAAGTAACAAACATTGCGTACGCTTCATGATACAATAAATGTTAACTTTATTACCATTGCATCTCTGAAGGATTCACTCTACTTGTTGACTAATCTTCAATCTTTGTGATCATCATCATCATCACCATCATCATTATTATCTTGAGTTCATCTTTATCTTTATTGGCAAATAACTAGTAAAAGAATGCTTGTTAAAAGTCAAAGGAGCTGCTAAAATTTGTAACAACTCAGATCATGTGAAAGTTCCTAATTAAAATAAATCTCACTTCAAGATTATTTTAATTCTCTTATCATGACTTTTGATCTTGCTAGGCATCTTGGTCATCAACCACAGTTCTTGCCACTGAAGCATGGATTTGATGAATGGTTTGGTGCTCCAAATTGTCATTTTGGCCCTTACGACAATAAGAAAACTCCTAATATACCTGTATATAGAGATGACAAAATGGTTGGAAGGTGAGGCTCATTCATTTTTTCTCCAAGTAATAAAAAATTGTATTTTAGCTTCTTTTAAAATGCTGTTCCAGTTTACATTCAATCTAATATTTAGAGCATTAAAAGTGTACCACAGATATATTCAATGTTAAGTATTTCCCTGGATAAGATTATAGTCCATTACTGTGACAACAAGTTAATCCCATTATTGGGAAGATTGTCCCAACCAGTAATTTATGCCAGGTTCCCTTGTATATATGGGACATGGTTAGCATACACTCAACTCCGGAGTGGATGGTCGGCTGGTTTCAAGCTCTGGTCAGGGTCATTGTGAAGATATTGTTTACATGTATGTGAGAAGAAGTAATAAAATGGAAAATAGATTTGAATAGAATGGAAGTACCAATGATTTTTGTTGTCATTGTGAACTTTTCTCCTATGAAATCAACAGCGTGCTGCAGCTTGTCTTCTAATTCTGTTATTCATCATTCAGATATTATCAGCAATTTCCCATCAACCATAAAACTGGAGAATCTAACCTGACTCAGATTTATACAGAGGTAAGAATCCTTAGAATTGTGGCAAGGAAATGTTCCCATGTGGTGAATTTGTTATTTACTTATTAAAGATTTCTTTAAATTTTAAATTTATTTAACAAGAGTATAAAGGATTCCTCTCTATGAGAGACAATATTATTGTAGTGCAGTGTTAGTGCCGATCAGAGCCACCATAAAGGGAGTATCCGAAAGACGTGAATAGCGAAGAATGAATAGTGGCAAATAGTTACGATTGGTGGCCAATAGTCACGGTTAGCATGAATAGCACTGCAGTTGGCCTAAATTACTAGCACTCCTGTAATCATAGTAATATTAGCACTCTGACATTCCTTGTAGCACTGATTTGTCAATAGTTATTTTTCAATAGATTGTTAGTAATGGTTTTGCTTTCAGTTATTACTGAGAGCTGGCCACTGTCAAGTCAGTGTTATTTACGCTAACTGGAGCCTGTTGTATTTAGGTTACCTGAAGTGTTGTTCAAATTAACCATGGCCATTCACCACCATCGAAAACTAATAACCACTGTTCAATGTTCAATGCTGTTCGCTATTTACTTTTTTCGGATTTTCCTTCAAAGATGGTCAAGTGAACTTTTCTCTGTCAATTGCTAAAAGTCACTAACTGGTGTACATTATTCTGTGGCATTGTTTTTAGGAAGCCCTTGATTATATTGAAACTCAAGCTAAAATGCAGAGACCATTTTTCTTATATTGGGCCCCAGATGCCACACACACACCATTGTATGCTTCGTCAAGTTTCCTGGGTACTAGCCAGCGAGGAATGTAAGTATATACATGTGCCTTAACATTCCAACCCATAATAATCTGCCTCAAGGCACTCCTGCTAATAAACCTTTTGTACTAGAGTGCATATCAATACAGGCATGTTTTTGATTTTCAGAATCATATATTGACTGATAAATAATCTTAGGAAAGCACATTAAGTAATTAATGATTTACACTACTCACAATACACAGTGGAACTGTGCCCAAAGGTCACCTTGTTAATTTGGTCACATTATGAAATGCCAACTGTTTCTAATTTTACCCTGTTAATACGGCCACTCAAACCAGTTATGTTCATCTTTCCAATGTAATATTGTACATGTACCCGGTATGTACCGATTGAAGTTTCAACTTTGTTAAAAATTATATCTGCATTAGGAATACTTATTAAAGAACAGTTGTTTAGAAGAGTAATTAAGATATACCTGTTAAGACATCACTAAAAATAGACCAGTCATGAAATTTGACCCTACCCATTAATATGACCACATCATTAATACGGCCAAATTCTCGTGAATGGCCCGTTAGTGACCATATTAACGGGGTTCCACTGTATTTGAAAATTCTTTCAAATTGCACTCACCTAAAGGCTCAATGTAAGTTTAGCAATCAACATTGTCAAATATCATTTCTAGTGAAATCCTTAATTTCACTCGCATTCATATAGCTACCTAATGTAAACAAATCTCACATACAATCCTTTTTAATGATAATTAAGTCCTCCGAACATAAACCCATGAGGTTTATATTTAGTTCTGGCCTTTAAAAAAGAGTGGTAACATTTCTTCCTTTAAAAAAGGTCCCTATATATTTTGGGGGTTGTTTTGTTTTTAACACATCTTTAGTTAGTCATTATGTATATTTCAGAGACTTTGACATGCATCTTGTATTTCTCCTCATTATGTTCAAAGAGTTTTAAAATACAGTTCATTCTTGTAAGTCCCTTTAAAATGCGAGTGTGACCTTTTTTTCTGAAATACAATTAATATTTCTTGCAATAATAAGCCACTAGGCGAGCCGTTCTAATTATAAAATAAATGAGCTAGGGACCAAAACCACCGTCTGTTCAATATAACATGTCAATGTTAGTAATAAACTTCTGATTTCTGTAATTAAAAGTAGTGTCAAGATCATATGCTGTAAAGTAATATATTTTTTGGACCTTTGGGGATTCCAAAGATCTGTAAATATCAAACATTATTTAAAGATCTTGTCTAGGTTGGCATGCTAGAAGCATGCAATGTATTCATTTTCAGTTGATTTCTATTTCATAAGATATGGAGATGCAGTAAGAGAGCTGGATGACAGTGTTGGCAGGATTCTTCAAAAATTGATAAATCTTGGTATATCCAACAATACGTTTGTTTTCTTTTCATCTGATAATGGAGGAGCCTTATACGCCAAAACAAAAGGTAATGGAATAAAAGACTGATTTAGTGTTATGTCAAGCAAATCTGGGCATTTTCCAGCTTCTCATGTTTCCTACAATCACTTAGTTTCACTAAGTTATGGTTGGTTTATTATGATTAATTTTCAATTGATAATTTCCAGGTTATCACTTTCAAATTTCAGTTGCAATCTACTGAATTGGAATTTAATGTATAATTTAGCCTTAAAGCAATACTCCACCACATAACAGTACTACTTTGTAATTAACAATTATTCATTGACGTGGAGGTAAATATCCATCACTTTCACCGACACTGGGGTGAATAATTGTTTTAGTATATACCACACAAGCTGAATAATTAGCAGGCCAAAACGTTATTTTATGTGTGACAAGCGGTCGCAAATTTTAAAATCTCTTGCGCCGGCTGCTCGGAGGTGAATAGTACTTGCTAATCACCTCCATGTTAACCAATCAGAGTGCGCAAAAAGCACTATTCACTTGTGTGGTATATACTAACATAGTTTATTATGCTGTGCAAGTAACTTCCTAAACATGGATAACACATATTCCTTTTTGTTTAACGGTATCTTCAGTTGGCTTCTAAAAATAGATGTAAGTTACAATTACCATACAAAGGTAAAGGTATGAAAAAGTATTTTCACAAGACACCTCTGGACAGGTATGCATGTACATTAGGCAATAAAGGAAGCCTACGCCTGATGGGTTATCACAAACGAGGATGTTGTGTGATTTAGGTGGAAGCAATGGACCATTTCTTTGTGGCAAGGAGACAACATTTGAAGGTGGAATGAGGGAACCATCTATAGCTTGGTGGCCGGGAAAGATCAAACCAGGCCAGGTATTAAATACAGTCTTGTCAGACAATGGGTGATTACAGAAAGTATCCATACCCTACAGGGGACATCTTCATCTAAATCCCTCCCCCCCTGGCTTTGGAATTACAATCTGTTTTACCCCCTCCCCCCAGCATGCCTTTGGAATCATGTAAACCCTGCTTCAGAGGGCTTTTTTCTTTTGTTCCCCGCAGTAATCTGGAAATTCCAGTTCTTTTTCATACTTTCTTTTAAAAATTTGGCCTTTCGAGGGTCCCCCCCCCCCCCCCCCCCCGGAATTTCCACTGACCTTCCTTACGGTGGGTATTGATAAATTCTGGAACTACACAATGTTGATTTGCCAGGATTGGGGTTGAAAAGTTGTAGCCATTTGAGAGAAGGGGTTATGTAATTCATCACGCGCTGTGGTTTAAAATATTGTTTACATGCGTCTTTTTATGGGAGAAGCTTGTCTGTCTGCCTTTTTTTCCGGGAGGGAGATTTGAATACCACATTTGTACCCCTTTCACCTCCACATGCAATTTTAATACTTTTTGAGGTGGGCTAAAATAATAAAATCCCCTACTCTGCTATGCACAACTTTGGAATGTCAGGCGGGGCTTCAAATGTTTTTTCCTTCCCAGTCTGCTACTATACATACCTGAACGGTATTATAAGGTATCCGAGGCCGGAATTTTTTCCAAGATCTGTAACGTGAAAGACGAAGGGAGTCTAGCACATTGTCTAGCATCAAGTGTCTTATGTGCGAGAAGTCTGGCACTGGTAGCAAGCCCGCATGACCTACTGGGAGAGAACGGACTTCATCATGGCGGCAGCGGGAAAGAAGAAGTCCAAAGGAGGGTTAGACCACGAGCAAATTATAATGCAGTTTAATCAAATGAGGCAGGAGTACAGGAGTATTATGGGGAAAATAGGAGAGCTGGAGATGGAAGTCAATGAGCACGGGTAAGAAGGGATTTTTAGAACGGGTGTCATAAACTGACAGACATCGATCAATCGGGAGTGCCTGTTTGAGCGTGTCACTGAAATTGAAAGTACGATTTAGTTCGTTCTGCCTTTCGTGTCGTCCCATTGCGAGTGTATAGGGGTTGTTAAATCTCTGCTATTGTAGATCAGTGGCAGCATCTTGGTAACAGCTTCGTCAAGCAGCAGGGACTTACATGATGTCCAAACTAACTCTATTGTAGAATGTTAAATCTGAACCAAAGATTTACGAATACTAAAAAAAAAGTTTTCAATGTTGCTGCTGATGAAAATTCTTGTTCCATATCAAGATCAATCCCATCAACAACTCGCAACGTACAACTCCGTCTCAAATATTCATCCCTTCACCTCGATAGGCCCCTGTCACTAGAAGCCCCCACCTCTCCACCCCACGAAAACATAGGGTATTTGCCTTGCCTGAGAGGATGGGGTATTTGTATTTAAGTCAATAATTGTTTTCCCGAGGTGGGGGGAGGAGTGGGAGGAAGAGGCTCCAGTGACTAGTGTAGAGCAAGGTGTCTTTTTTCATAATTTGTCAAATTTGTAAAATTGATTTAATATGTGAAGGCCCGAGTTTCTCATGTCACAATAACACCAAACTCTTCCCTGACTGTAGAATTGTAATTGAGGCCTTGAAAGGTGTGGAGCCTGAAAGACGATGCTTCCGGATGATTGGCGGAGTACTGGTTGAGAGAACAGTCAAAGATGTTCTTCCCGCGCTAGAAAATAACAAAGATCAGGTAAGTAACTCAACAGGTGCTATAGTAAGCTTATCATTTTCATGAGTTAAGTCATATTATGTTATATTATTATGCAGTTAGAAGTTTGCATAATTTGGTCCAATTTCTAAGAATAACTATCATTTAAACAATAAATATTGCATCAAAAGAACACAAATATTATAGTGGTACCCTAGCCTACAAATGAGCGCTACCAGCATTACCATTCTGAGAGAAACTGTAGTGCTACATATAATTAGGCCAACTGTTTTGCTAATCTGGCTGGCCAGAGTGCCTTTTACTGCTAACCAGAGTGTTATCAACGCATACGCAGCATATTTTGTCAGCCTGTGGGGAACCAGACTGCAGAGTACAGCAATTTCTAGAATATTGTCAGTTCAATTCAAACTGAATGTTCATTCAACTCAGCAACAGATGGGAAACAAAAAGTAATTCCAAGACAATACAAACATTGAGGCAGCCTCTTACACTGAACATTTTAGAGCTGTGTTTTTGAAAGAGTGTAGTTTGTATTGGTTTCCCTAACAAGTTAGACTGCAAGCAGTCTCCTTGGTTCGAAATGCCGTGGGCAATAATGCAAAGAACGCAACACAAGGGAGCAGTTGCAAGTATGGAAGCTTGACATGCAAGGCCACTTGTAGCGCAGGCATCAGAAGACAAGCGAAGAGTCTCTCCTTCCGCTCATATTCCAATGCTGGCACTATGTCACATTCACAGTCACACTTGCCTGCTCACTTGTTTTGCATTCTTCCCCATGGATTTTCAAGAGTGCTTCCACCCCACTAACAAGTGTTTACACCTAATGTTTGTTTGCCATACATCACCAGATTTCAGGCCTAATCAGCAAGTTAAAAGATACACTAACAGCAAAGGAACAAGAACTTACAGCATTTAAAGATAAACACAATATCCACGTAAAAGGAGACAAAGAAAGTCCACCAGAGGACTCTGTGCAGACATCAGACAAGACTTCCGGGGTCCTTGTAGCTCAGGACAGTTCATAGGATAGTGAACTGCTCATCTTTTTATGTGTCATGAACATTATTTATCAAGAATTGTGCACATCAAAGCTGTATTGGCAGCATTACATTGGAGTCTTCAACCTTTACCGAGTTGTTGATCAGCTTGCAGGTTCTTATAACATTAAGACTATTGACAACTGATCACCAAGTGGAACGTTGCACTTCCATTCATTCATGATAAAATTCTCCCAACAAGGACAATGAAAGAGTAGTAAGGAGAATTTGGAGATTGATAATTTTGAAGGCTTGGATCTTGTAGTTTTCACTGGTTTGTTTTGCGGTGGTTGTTTTGAAAGGTTTGGGGTTTTTACTTAGCATTACCTAGGGGGAGAGGGTAACCAAAGCTAGTAATCTTCAACTACCCCCTCCATAGAAAACCCTAATTGGAACATCAATTTGTTACAATCCCCAAATACCCCCTTCCCCCCACAATTGAAAACACAGACACACAGTAGAAATGAGCAAAAACACTCACATAGATAGAGAGAGAGATACAGCGATACAACCCGTAGACAGCAGGGCATTTGTTCATTTAGAAAGTTATTTACTTTCAAGAAAGTCTTTGATGTACAGTCACTTTTATTAATTATTTTCTTAAGTCCAGATTCCAGAAGCTATAATTTACTTCATATTTGGATAGCTTTGTCGTAAACATGAAAGCCCAATTCAAAGTTCTCTTTGCAAAATTAGTTCATTCACAAAGTCAATTTAATGCAAAACAAACTGCTTTCATGCCATAAGGTTTTGCACCAGGCTACCATGGGATCAGGTTTTTTTCCCTTTTTTCTCACCCCCTTTCGCCGAAAAAAAGAATGCCTGATGACAGGTTAGCACTCAGCTGCTTTTGATAACAGGCAAATAAGATAATGTGATGTAGACAGGAGAACAATGCAATAAAATATCAATACTCTGAATTCTGAATAAATGTTGTAAAAAGATGTTGATCTCTTGAAAACTATTTACATTACATGAATTAGATCCTTGAGGTCAGAATTAAGGATAATGTATTCACCAATATTGTGTTTCATATCAAGTATAATTATAGCAAAACGTGATAACACAAAGAAACTCAGCCATGATACAGTGACTCTTAGGCTACAGGTCTTTTTGGATAAGCATTTGCAAATTATAATTATATTAAGCACTTTTTTCAATGTTCAATAAAGTACTTAGAATATACACGTAGCTAATACCAAACACATGTATTTGCTCCACTACTGCACCATTTTAACACTTTAAACCAAGAGAATGTGCAAAACATGAGCCTATTATTGTTCTGTAGAATTTTATTTTGTTTTTGTCATTTGCGAGTGCTTATAAGTGATGGATGTGATTTTTGGATGATGCAGGATGTATTTTTAAAAACTAGAAGCCAAAATACTAGAAAATGACCATAGTGGTATAAAAAATCCGTTCTTTAATGGTTTAACATGTAACACACATGAACAATTTGATCATTGCTTGTATATTTCCTCACCACTTTGGGGTTCGGAAAACACTACACAACTCGCAGAATGTCCATGGGTACCATCAAAATAGGTGTATATACATGTATTCTGAGTGTAGACATACATGGCTGCATATTGTATTATTTCAGTCTTGTTTTTGTCAGCTACAACAAACACAGTATCATGTTTTTGTCATTTTGTGGGGTTGCTTACTATTAAAAAAACATTGTGTGGATTTTCAAAGAGTTTCATGATGCAAGTTAAAGGGCTTGTTATCTCAAAAGAAATCAAGAGCTTTGGGCCTTTGACCAGCTTTGGGCTGTTTTTTTCCTTGTTGCCTCTGGGCAGGGTCTGGCGATGGAGCAGCCTTCACAACCAGGGGTGTTCTCCGAGGCAGGGGTGGTGACTTGAGCAGCCCCTGAGTGGGTGTCTTATGTGCATCAAATGGGATTCTTGGGCTCTCCTTCACACTGCGTCGATAATCTGTTGAAGAAATCACACAGAAGTTAAGTATCAACTACAACTCCTTTGCTCCCAAACATCAGCCCCACATCAAAATAGTACCGTTCTACTTTTCCATCTTGGTGAAGCCCTAATAAAAGTATGAGCCTTTATGTCATACTGTTTATTATGTTGCACAAGTTAGTTCTGAATTTTTCAGTCTCAGGATGAATCCCTAGTGAGTGACCATTCAAATGAAAGCTTCTGAGCAGTTCTTTCATGAGGTACTTTTCATTATACTATACAAGGTGGTTCTAACTGTTAAGTCTGTGGATGTAACCCTAGTGCGTGACCATTCAAATGAAAGCTATTGAGCAGTACTTTCTTGTGGTACTGTTTATTATGCTCTACAAGGTGGGTCTTCCTTTCAAGTCTGGATGAAACCCTAGTGTGTGACCATTCAAATGAAAGCTATTGAGCAGTACTTTCATGTGGTACTGTTTATTATGCTCTACAAGGTAGGTCTTTCAAGTCTGTGGATGAAACCATTATGTGTGACCATTCAAATGAAAGCTATTGAGCAGTACTTTCATGTGGTACTGTTTACTATCCTCTACAAGGTGGGTCTTCCTTTTAAGTCTGTGGATGAAACCCTAATGTGTGACCATTCAAATGAAAGCTATTGAGCAGTACTTTNCATATTATGTTATATTATTATGCAGTTAGAAGTTTGCATAATTTGGTCCAATTTCTAAGAATAACTATCATTTAAACAATAAATATTGCATCAAAAGAACACAAATATTATAGTGGTACCCTAGCCTACAAATGAGCGCTACCAGCATTACCATTCTGAGAGAAACTGTAGTGCTACATATAATTAGGCCAACTGTTTTGCTAATCTGGCTGGCCAGAGTGCCTTTTACTGCTAACCAGAGTGTTATCAACGCATACGCAGCATATTTTGTCAGCCTGTGGGGAACCAGACTGCAGAGTACAGCAATTTCTAGAATATTGTCAGTTCAATTCAAACTGAATGTTCATTCAACTCAGCAACAGATGGGAAACAAAAAGTAATTCCAAGACAATACAAACATTGAGGCAGCCTCTTACACTGAACATTTTAGAGCTGTGTTTTTGAAAGAGTGTAGTTTGTATTGGTTTCCCTAACAAGTTAGACTGCAAGCAGTCTCCTTGGTTCGAAATGCCGTGGGCAATAATGCAAAGAACGCAACACAAGGGAGCAGTTGCAAGTATGGAAGCTTGACATGCAAGGCCACTTGTAGCGCAGGCATCAGAAGACAAGCGAAGAGTCTCTCCTTCCGCTCATATTCCAATGCTGGCACTATGTCACATTCACAGTCACACTTGCCTGCTCACTTGTTTTGCATTCTTCCCCATGGATTTTCAAGAGTGCTTCCACCCCACTAACAAGTGTTTACACCTAATGTTTGTTTGCCATACATCACCAGATTTCAGGCCTAATCAGCAAGTTAAAAGATACACTAACAGCAAAGGAACAAGAACTTACAGCATTTAAAGATAAACACAATATCCACGTAAAAGGAGACAAAGAAAGTCCACCAGAGGACTCTGTGCAGACATCAGACAAGACTTCCGGGGTCCTTGTAGCTCAGGACAGTTCATAGGATAGTGAACTGCTCATCTTTTTATGTGTCATGAACATTATTTATCAAGAATTGTGCACATCAAAGCTGTATTGGCAGCATTACATTGGAGTCTTCAACCTTTACCGAGTTGTTGATCAGCTTGCAGGTTCTTATAACATTAAGACTATTGACAACTGATCACCAAGTGGAACGTTGCACTTCCATTCATTCATGATAAAATTCTCCCAACAAGGACAATGAAAGAGTAGTAAGGAGAATTTGGAGATTGATAATTTTGAAGGCTTGGATCTTGTAGTTTTCACTGGTTTGTTTTGCGGTGGTTGTTTTGAAAGGTTTGGGGTTTTTACTTAGCATTACCTAGGGGGAGAGGGTAACCAAAGCTAGTAATCTTCAACTACCCCCTCCATAGAAAACCCTAATTGGAACATCAATTTGTTACAATCCCCAAATACCCCCTTCCCCCCACAATTGAAAACACAGACACACAGTAGAAATGAGCAAAAACACTCACATAGATAGAGAGAGAGATACAGCGATACAACCCGTAGACAGCAGGGCATTTGTTCATTTAGAAAGTTATTTACTTTCAAGAAAGTCTTTGATGTACAGTCACTTTTATTAATTATTTTCTTAAGTCCAGATTCCAGAAGCTATAATTTACTTCATATTTGGATAGCTTTGTCGTAAACATGAAAGCCCAATTCAAAGTTCTCTTTGCAAAATTAGTTCATTCACAAAGTCAATTTAATGCAAAACAAACTGCTTTCATGCCATAAGGTTTTGCACCAGGCTACCATGGGATCAGGTTTTTTTCCCTTTTTTCTCACCCCCTTTCGCCGAAAAAAAGAATGCCTGATGACAGGTTAGCACTCAGCTGCTTTTGATAACAGGCAAATAAGATAATGTGATGTAGACAGGAGAACAATGCAATAAAATATCAATACTCTGAATTCTGAATAAATGTTGTAAAAAGATGTTGATCTCTTGAAAACTATTTACATTACATGAATTAGATCCTTGAGGTCAGAATTAAGGATAATGTATTCACCAATATTGTGTTTCATATCAAGTATAATTATAGCAAAACGTGATAACACAAAGAAACTCAGCCATGATACAGTGACTCTTAGGCTACAGGTCTTTTTGGATAAGCATTTGCAAATTATAATTATATTAAGCACTTTTTTCAATGTTCAATAAAGTACTTAGAATATACACGTAGCTAATACCAAACACATGTATTTGCTCCACTACTGCACCATTTTAACACTTTAAACCAAGAGAATGTGCAAAACATGAGCCTATTATTGTTCTGTAGAATTTTATTTTGTTTTTGTCATTTGCGAGTGCTTATAAGTGATGGATGTGATTTTTGGATGATGCAGGATGTATTTTTAAAAACTAGAAGCCAAAATACTAGAAAATGACCATAGTGGTATAAAAAATCCGTTCTTTAATGGTTTAACATGTAACACACATGAACAATTTGATCATTGCTTGTATATTTCCTCACCACTTTGGGGTTCGGAAAACACTACACAACTCGCAGAATGTCCATGGGTACCATCAAAATAGGTGTATATACATGTATTCTGAGTGTAGACATACATGGCTGCATATTGTATTATTTCAGTCTTGTTTTTGTCAGCTACAACAAACACAGTATCATGTTTTTGTCATTTTGTGGGGTTGCTTACTATTAAAAAAACATTGTGTGGATTTTCAAAGAGTTTCATGATGCAAGTTAAAGGGCTTGTTATCTCAAAAGAAATCAAGAGCTTTGGGCCTTTGACCAGCTTTGGGCTGTTTTTTTCCTTGTTGCCTCTGGGCAGGGTCTGGCGATGGAGCAGCCTTCACAACCAGGGGTGTTCTCCGAGGCAGGGGTGGTGACTTGAGCAGCCCCTGAGTGGGTGTCTTATGTGCATCAAATGGGATTCTTGGGCTCTCCTTCACACTGCGTCGATAATCTGTTGAAGAAATCACACAGAAGTTAAGTATCAACTACAACTCCTTTGCTCCCAAACATCAGCCCCACATCAAAATAGTACCGTTCTACTTTTCCATCTTGGTGAAGCCCTAATAAAAGTATGAGCCTTTATGTCATACTGTTTATTATGTTGCACAAGTTAGTTCTGAATTTTTCAGTCTCAGGATGAATCCCTAGTGAGTGACCATTCAAATGAAAGCTTCTGAGCAGTTCTTTCATGAGGTACTTTTCATTATACTATACAAGGTGGTTCTAACTGTTAAGTCTGTGGATGTAACCCTAGTGCGTGACCATTCAAATGAAAGCTATTGAGCAGTACTTTCTTGTGGTACTGTTTATTATGCTCTACAAGGTGGGTCTTCCTTTCAAGTCTGGATGAAACCCTAGTGTGTGACCATTCAAATGAAAGCTATTGAGCAGTACTTTCATGTGGTACTGTTTATTATGCTCTACAAGGTAGGTCTTTCAAGTCTGTGGATGAAACCATTATGTGTGACCATTCAAATGAAAGCTATTGAGCAGTACTTTCATGTGGTACTGTTTACTATCCTCTACAAGGTGGGTCTTCCTTTTAAGTCTGTGGATGAAACCCTAATGTGTGACCATTCAAATGAAAGCTATTGAGCAGTACTTTTGTGTGGTACTGTTTACTGACCAGTGCAATGTGGTTCTAACTTAAAACTCTGGATGAAACCCAATAATAATAATAACTAGCTGTAATTGTAGATTTAAGAGTGTGTTCGAGTTTTGGTAGGTTTGGTATGCTAAAAAAGCAAAGCAAATTTTGTGCCTGAGCTGTTAAGAGGGCGTGGAACTAGCCTCCCTCCAGCAGGGGTGAAAACAAATGTTCTCATTAACCAAATTTTTCAAAAGTAATAAATTTGGAGTCCAGTCATTGTAACAGTGGTTGCTGTAGTGATACACCATTTTAGAAAATGTACAAACCTTGTGCTGTATGTGCAGTGTTTTTTGACATCTCGATTCTAACTCTCTTGGAGGTTTGCTTTGGTGGGACTGATCTAGGGGGTTGATTCTACAGCAAGAATGACAGGAAGAAATCATTTCATTCAAAGCCCTAGTTTTACAGTTCAACAAACGACACAGACAGGATGTTGCAGGAACATAAGATATTGTAAAACAATAATATTATTGAAGGGTGAGGAGATTTCAAATTTGCATAATGTTCTTCCAACATTCTGTGGCCTTGCAACATGTTCCCTGTTTACCGCCATCCCACCCACCTCCACTTAAAGTATTTCATATATATACTGCCCTTGAAATGTATCCCCATCAATGTGGTATTCTTTCTGACTGACAATTCAAAACAAAATAGTGTGAATATTGTGATTTTTTGTTATAAGCAAAAGTGATACTGTTCTAAGTTTACAAATTACAGAAAATAGATTGCAAGCAAAAAGCCCGAATTTGATGAATTTTTGAATATTTGAATAACTTTGCAGTGAGATTTTCTGTTTATACTGTTTTGCCCTCTGTTTTGAGTCTCAATAATCTACACAAAACATAAACAGTAAAAACGTTTTTATAAAACACAAATTTCCACTTGGTTAACTTTTAATCCTGGGTTAGCATTAACTGTTTTTCGAATAACCCGTCCATGATTACAACAAATTAACTTGGCCTGAACCCGTGATCCAATCAAAAAACAACACTTGGTTAGCAGTCAATTTGAGCCCGCAATATGGTCATGTGATACTTTTCAGCAGATACCTTGTTTTGACAGGTGTCAATTGAGCACACATGAATGTCCAATATCAAAGAAGTACACTGTAAACCAAGGCTGCCTGTCTCTGTCAACCAATTAGCTGGAGTATGGCTGCCACCTTAAGCAACTCCATTGCCGTTGTCATTGTGTATATGCGCCCACGAGCAATACCAGAAGCCATGATAACCTTGAGAAAATCTATTCATGGGTTTCCTTCCCTTTCCTATATGAGTATGGTGCTCTGCTTGCAGGACCAAAGGGCCGCTGGAGCCCCACTGAGTATGGTGCTCCACTTAGTGGCCCTTTGGGCTGCCAGAGCAACAATCCTTTTGCTCGGCACCAATAATAGCAACCTCTGGGTGGGTCCAACACTGGAGGTCCTGAATTCTCAGACTTCTGCCAAATCTTACAAATCTAACTGCCTAACAATACCAAACAAACACGTTGCATGTTCAGAAAATTGGATCTGGCAAAAGGTTGCAATTCTTGATGCTGACCAACCAGATTGCAGCCTCTGGGGACTGTCATTGTTATTATCACTGGATAATGTCTATCATATCAAACAGAAAGCTGTCACCAACCTTCAATTTACTTGTCTTGCTTTTTTGTGGTTCTGTACTTGGTGTTTTAGCTAAACATTTTCTAACAAATGCTGGCGGAGTTGAATTCTTCTGAAATTTTGCAAATGGCTCACAGCTAGAACTTGCTGCTTTGCGAAAAACTTTCCTGTCAACAGTTCTAGACGATGTTTGATCCTCTATTTCTGGAGAAAGTCTTGTGTCTCCATTTACAGCAGAAGCTTCACTCTCACTTGAGCCATTAACAAGTGACTTACTCGATTCATGTTCTTCACTCTTGTCACTCCCATTTGTCAATTTTTTACAATCACGTTTATGGTCACTGTTTGAATTTTCACTAATTACAGTTCCATTGCTGGTATCAACCAGAGATTTTTTCATTTTCTTCTTCTTTTTCTTAGATTCACCTTTATCCTCTTCAAAAGTTATTCTTTCACCCAAATGAGACCCAACATTTAAATCATCTTCACTATTTTTCCTCTTTCTCTTTTCTTCTTTCTTCTCTTTAATACAATCCTTGCCCTGTTTCTCTTCTTCTTTTTCAATTTCCCCATGTTTCCTCCTTTTTCTTTTCTGTTTTGCTTCCCTAGTGTGACCTTTTTCACTGCAGTTTTCCTCAGTTGACCCATTTACTAAATCTGAAGACTTTTCTGTTGTTTCCCTCTTTTTTCCAAGAGGAATCCCATCTGAGGTTTCACCTTCTTGCACAGGGTCTCCTTCCTCAAGTTGCCCTGGTTAAAACAAAGTGATTCAAGTCTTAAAATGAGCATAACATAACATAATAACCAAGGACAACAATTTATTCTCTATGGAAACAGATATGTAAACCACATACTGTTCACGTCATAAGGGACTATCACAATTTAGTTTCTTACCTGTTGATTGTTTTCTCAGCCTGTAATAAATTTGAATAAAAAGAGAAAACATAAGGCATGGCAAATTTGGATCATTAAAGACATTTGATCACTGCACAACTAGGAAATCACAGATCAACTGGCTGATTGCAATGACTGAATGACTTGATAAATGATTAGAATGGCAGGTTGAACTGTGAGACTGTTTGGCACAAAACAGAATGACCAGCTGGCTGGCAGGCTGGGTGGTTGGCTGACTGACAGACTAATGACTGACAGAAGGACAAACAAATGGATGGGTGGGAAGACTGGCTGGAGGGTAGATGGACAGATCGATGGATGGATGGACTGACTGACTGCCTGTCTGCCTGCCTGACAAAGCTAACCTCTTACGGATGGGTAGATGGACAGACAGGCGAAGGGATGGATGTACGATGGACTGACAGATGGACAGACAAGCTGACTGACCAACCTGCCTTCTTTAGTTGTAGCCTGACTGACTGGCATACCTCACCTCTTAGACCAGCTAAAGAGCTGGTTTCTGTTCCTACCCAGAACATTTCTGTCGCTTGCTAAAGTGAACAATCTGTCAGCAACTTCAGAAAAATCAACCTCGGGAAATAAAAAATAAACAAAGCAATGATGTACAGTTCAAAACATGTTAATTTCTCTTAATTTTTTTAAAAAATAGTTCTACAGGGGCTGATGAAGAACATTCAAGGCCATCATTACATTCAAAGGTTAAAACAAGGACTGTGGAATATAGAAATATTAGAAACATGCTTCTTCTTGGTTTCTTAAAAATAATAACAATGAGACATTATGCCTTGCATGTGAGGATGGTCTGACTGGAGAGACCAAGTGATTTGATGGCGCTACCAAGAGTGCCAAGGATGGATGACGACGAAGGTGGTAGTGGTAGTGGTGGTGATAAAGATGAGATGACAATGATGATATAAACTGAAGATTTCATGTTGTGTAATATGCTACCTTGAAATATTGAAAATCAGCTTCATAGCGAGGTCTACAGACAAAAACAAGAGAAATGAACAAATATGCCCATCCAATTTCTTTTGCTTGTCTCCTCTAGGACTCCCCACCAAGCTGAATTTTATTAATAATATTGAATACAGTCTATTACATGTACTACCTTCAACCCGACAGTCTTCAGTGTTTCATCTGCTTCATCAGTATCACACTGAACAAGACACTCAAACAAACTTTTCTTCACAGCACCAGTAACAGTCACACTACAAGGAAACAGATCTAATAATCAAATACTTCACAAAGAAAACTAAACACGGCAAAACAATATTTTCCTTTCATTTTGCTCCAACCGAGGGTCAACACTAGTCTTGATATGACAGCTCTCTAAATTCTCCATGCTAATTAGATAATTAATTTACCTTTATTAACTTTGAGTTGGTAATTATTTAATATTATTAGCTTAGTGTTAGAACTAGACACAAGTGGTATCACAAACTGAACTTTCATAAGATTGAAAGTGGTCTGTTTGTTAAGAAATAAGCACGGTTAAGAAAAGCAGAAGACTAAGCTATAATGAGTAGACTTCTAAATGATAATGTGGTAACATCAGGGATCAAGCACCCGCAAGGGTTGTTAAGCCTACCTGTAGTTACTGGACAAGATAGTGTACTTGCTCTACAGTCCATTACCCTCCTCAGGAGGACAAATGGGCTCATAGGTGAACTGTAAGGGTCACCCAGTGAAATCCTATTGGGTGGTGGGAGAGTGGTAGCCTTACCACAGACTAGCACACCATCAAGGTGGGGGAGGGGGAGGGGAAGGGGGAGGGGAAGGGGGGAGCAGCAATATCCCAGTCATTTCTTGCTATGGGAACACATGGAACTAGCTGACAGCCAACAACTAACGACATGTAAATTCAGTAGCTGAAGATGGGCTTATCAACAGATGAAATTTCACCTGAAAAACAACACCTTGTGAACATTTTGAGGAAAGCTAACTGAGCTGCTTAGTTTATTTGTTATCTACATCCCTGAGAACCAGCAATAAGTGCCAGAGCATCAAACTACCAGGCTCTACAATACCAGTCCTGCAAATTATTTCTGACATGATGTACATGTATGTAGAAATCTTACTTTTTAGAGTATGCTGCCAGGAGGAATAGTGGATCCAGAAGTTTTAGCAAGACAGAAGCAGGAACCTGTAGACAGAACGCATGAAAACAATAAGCATTGAAACAATACATGTACCTCTTGTGCAAAAGTTTTATGCTTACAACAATGCATGTGATATCCCAGGGGTGGACTCGCATACACTGTACAAAAAGGACGGGGGTGCTCATCATGCCTTTTGGAGGTTAAAAAAGCAATTTTTGTACCTTGTGAGACGTTTTAGCCTTAAAAGGTCCACAGCGGGAGCTTTTGCTGTACCTTTTAGGGTATTAACCTGAAAAATATACCAGGTCGTGTTTTTCACTGCTGTCAATCACCTTAGGTGACCTTGCAGGAAATAAACAGGAAGCAGTTCATTTCAATAGGTTCAAAAGGTCATGACTGTGAACTGTGATAGATAGAATGTAATCCATTTGTTTGCTCTTTGTTTACGGCGTGTCGTGGTTATGCTTAACAGCAGTGAAGACACAAACATGGGTTAGGACCCTAGTCAGCCTCCGCCATTTTCGACACCATCAAAATTATTGATATTTCATGGGGAAGTGAAATCTTATTCTTTTACTGTAAGTTGTGTTCCTGAAAGTATGTTTAGTAATGGGTTACCATTAGTAGTTTCACAGTGATTTCCTTCATTTCGACATGCCCCAAATAAAATATAATAGACAAACTCTCGCATGTAAACAAACACTGTGGCTGACTAGGGCCCTTTAATAGTTCACATGCATGTTATTGAAAAACGCAGTTTGTAACAAATGATGCTCTTGTACCTTGTCATCAACAACACTTTCGAGCTCTGCTACAAACACAGACACCATGTGAAGGCGAATTCCATCAGGAACCTGAATGAAAAAAAACTTAACTGTTCACTACCTGATTGACATCCAGTTTCCCTTTTCCATATTAAGACATTATCAAACAGACAAGTAATGAGAAAATGAACAAAATCGTAAAATTGGAAGATCATCTTGATGTGACCAAATTCTCAGAGTAAATTTAGCCATGAAAATTATACAGCAATTAAGGAGTAAGAAGAATTTGTACATGTATGTACATTTACATGCATGGATTTTTACTGACACAGAAATATATATACCTTATTTGATGGTTAGACAGATAATATAGACATGGATATTTTAAGAAAAGTGAAGTGTTTTTTCTCACTCCAGAGGAACAAAAAAAAGCCAGCAAAATACACTGTCACACCTACTTGGGATACAAGTACATCCACTAAGTGTACACCACCATTTGTCACAGCAAAATGCATGCTCAAATATCTTTGAATCTATTGCTCAGGGGTTTCATTTACATTGACAGCAGGAGGGCAACTGGTTTTGCCTTTTTGCCTTTAATGATAGCCCTAATTGCTTCTACATTAAAAGGAAACCTCTGTTAAGGGAGTTGTGCATGATGCATAAAAATAATTAATTCACATACTGCCTGATTGGTAGGGTTCATGGGCTCTTCATGGAAAATATTGCTCACTTCACTAACCAACCTGACAGAGCAATATTGTTTATTGTTAGTACTTACTAAAGAACATTCCTCTCTTATAGAGTACACAGACTATTGCAACAATAACTTGATATAATTTACCATTCTTCCCAGGCAGCTTTCTTGAGAAAATTAAAAGTTTCTTTCACAAAGAAACGGATGAGCTGAAAACAGAGGAAAACAACATATATNCTGTGGATGAAACCATTATGTGTGACCATTCAAATGAAAGCTATTGAGCAGTACTTTCATGTGGTACTGTTTACTATCCTCTACAAGGTGGGTCTTCCTTTTAAGTCTGTGGATGAAACCCTAATGTGTGACCATTCAAATGAAAGCTATTGAGCAGTACTTTTGTGTGGTACTGTTTACTGACCAGTGCAATGTGGTTCTAACTTAAAACTCTGGATGAAACCCAATAATAATAATAACTAGCTGTAATTGTAGATTTAAGAGTGTGTTCGAGTTTTGGTAGGTTTGGTATGCTAAAAAAGCAAAGCAAATTTTGTGCCTGAGCTGTTAAGAGGGCGTGGAACTAGCCTCCCTCCAGCAGGGGTGAAAACAAATGTTCTCATTAACCAAATTTTTCAAAAGTAATAAATTTGGAGTCCAGTCATTGTAACAGTGGTTGCTGTAGTGATACACCATTTTAGAAAATGTACAAACCTTGTGCTGTATGTGCAGTGTTTTTTGACATCTCGATTCTAACTCTCTTGGAGGTTTGCTTTGGTGGGACTGATCTAGGGGGTTGATTCTACAGCAAGAATGACAGGAAGAAATCATTTCATTCAAAGCCCTAGTTTTACAGTTCAACAAACGACACAGACAGGATGTTGCAGGAACATAAGATATTGTAAAACAATAATATTATTGAAGGGTGAGGAGATTTCAAATTTGCATAATGTTCTTCCAACATTCTGTGGCCTTGCAACATGTTCCCTGTTTACCGCCATCCCACCCACCTCCACTTAAAGTATTTCATATATATACTGCCCTTGAAATGTATCCCCATCAATGTGGTATTCTTTCTGACTGACAATTCAAAACAAAATAGTGTGAATATTGTGATTTTTTGTTATAAGCAAAAGTGATACTGTTCTAAGTTTACAAATTACAGAAAATAGATTGCAAGCAAAAAGCCCGAATTTGATGAATTTTTGAATATTTGAATAACTTTGCAGTGAGATTTTCTGTTTATACTGTTTTGCCCTCTGTTTTGAGTCTCAATAATCTACACAAAACATAAACAGTAAAAACGTTTTTATAAAACACAAATTTCCACTTGGTTAACTTTTAATCCTGGGTTAGCATTAACTGTTTTTCGAATAACCCGTCCATGATTACAACAAATTAACTTGGCCTGAACCCGTGATCCAATCAAAAAACAACACTTGGTTAGCAGTCAATTTGAGCCCGCAATATGGTCATGTGATACTTTTCAGCAGATACCTTGTTTTGACAGGTGTCAATTGAGCACACATGAATGTCCAATATCAAAGAAGTACACTGTAAACCAAGGCTGCCTGTCTCTGTCAACCAATTAGCTGGAGTATGGCTGCCACCTTAAGCAACTCCATTGCCGTTGTCATTGTGTATATGCGCCCACGAGCAATACCAGAAGCCATGATAACCTTGAGAAAATCTATTCATGGGTTTCCTTCCCTTTCCTATATGAGTATGGTGCTCTGCTTGCAGGACCAAAGGGCCGCTGGAGCCCCACTGAGTATGGTGCTCCACTTAGTGGCCCTTTGGGCTGCCAGAGCAACAATCCTTTTGCTCGGCACCAATAATAGCAACCTCTGGGTGGGTCCAACACTGGAGGTCCTGAATTCTCAGACTTCTGCCAAATCTTACAAATCTAACTGCCTAACAATACCAAACAAACACGTTGCATGTTCAGAAAATTGGATCTGGCAAAAGGTTGCAATTCTTGATGCTGACCAACCAGATTGCAGCCTCTGGGGACTGTCATTGTTATTATCACTGGATAATGTCTATCATATCAAACAGAAAGCTGTCACCAACCTTCAATTTACTTGTCTTGCTTTTTTGTGGTTCTGTACTTGGTGTTTTAGCTAAACATTTTCTAACAAATGCTGGCGGAGTTGAATTCTTCTGAAATTTTGCAAATGGCTCACAGCTAGAACTTGCTGCTTTGCGAAAAACTTTCCTGTCAACAGTTCTAGACGATGTTTGATCCTCTATTTCTGGAGAAAGTCTTGTGTCTCCATTTACAGCAGAAGCTTCACTCTCACTTGAGCCATTAACAAGTGACTTACTCGATTCATGTTCTTCACTCTTGTCACTCCCATTTGTCAATTTTTTACAATCACGTTTATGGTCACTGTTTGAATTTTCACTAATTACAGTTCCATTGCTGGTATCAACCAGAGATTTTTTCATTTTCTTCTTCTTTTTCTTAGATTCACCTTTATCCTCTTCAAAAGTTATTCTTTCACCCAAATGAGACCCAACATTTAAATCATCTTCACTATTTTTCCTCTTTCTCTTTTCTTCTTTCTTCTCTTTAATACAATCCTTGCCCTGTTTCTCTTCTTCTTTTTCAATTTCCCCATGTTTCCTCCTTTTTCTTTTCTGTTTTGCTTCCCTAGTGTGACCTTTTTCACTGCAGTTTTCCTCAGTTGACCCATTTACTAAATCTGAAGACTTTTCTGTTGTTTCCCTCTTTTTTCCAAGAGGAATCCCATCTGAGGTTTCACCTTCTTGCACAGGGTCTCCTTCCTCAAGTTGCCCTGGTTAAAACAAAGTGATTCAAGTCTTAAAATGAGCATAACATAACATAATAACCAAGGACAACAATTTATTCTCTATGGAAACAGATATGTAAACCACATACTGTTCACGTCATAAGGGACTATCACAATTTAGTTTCTTACCTGTTGATTGTTTTCTCAGCCTGTAATAAATTTGAATAAAAAGAGAAAACATAAGGCATGGCAAATTTGGATCATTAAAGACATTTGATCACTGCACAACTAGGAAATCACAGATCAACTGGCTGATTGCAATGACTGAATGACTTGATAAATGATTAGAATGGCAGGTTGAACTGTGAGACTGTTTGGCACAAAACAGAATGACCAGCTGGCTGGCAGGCTGGGTGGTTGGCTGACTGACAGACTAATGACTGACAGAAGGACAAACAAATGGATGGGTGGGAAGACTGGCTGGAGGGTAGATGGACAGATCGATGGATGGATGGACTGACTGACTGCCTGTCTGCCTGCCTGACAAAGCTAACCTCTTACGGATGGGTAGATGGACAGACAGGCGAAGGGATGGATGTACGATGGACTGACAGATGGACAGACAAGCTGACTGACCAACCTGCCTTCTTTAGTTGTAGCCTGACTGACTGGCATACCTCACCTCTTAGACCAGCTAAAGAGCTGGTTTCTGTTCCTACCCAGAACATTTCTGTCGCTTGCTAAAGTGAACAATCTGTCAGCAACTTCAGAAAAATCAACCTCGGGAAATAAAAAATAAACAAAGCAATGATGTACAGTTCAAAACATGTTAATTTCTCTTAATTTTTTTAAAAAATAGTTCTACAGGGGCTGATGAAGAACATTCAAGGCCATCATTACATTCAAAGGTTAAAACAAGGACTGTGGAATATAGAAATATTAGAAACATGCTTCTTCTTGGTTTCTTAAAAATAATAACAATGAGACATTATGCCTTGCATGTGAGGATGGTCTGACTGGAGAGACCAAGTGATTTGATGGCGCTACCAAGAGTGCCAAGGATGGATGACGACGAAGGTGGTAGTGGTAGTGGTGGTGATAAAGATGAGATGACAATGATGATATAAACTGAAGATTTCATGTTGTGTAATATGCTACCTTGAAATATTGAAAATCAGCTTCATAGCGAGGTCTACAGACAAAAACAAGAGAAATGAACAAATATGCCCATCCAATTTCTTTTGCTTGTCTCCTCTAGGACTCCCCACCAAGCTGAATTTTATTAATAATATTGAATACAGTCTATTACATGTACTACCTTCAACCCGACAGTCTTCAGTGTTTCATCTGCTTCATCAGTATCACACTGAACAAGACACTCAAACAAACTTTTCTTCACAGCACCAGTAACAGTCACACTACAAGGAAACAGATCTAATAATCAAATACTTCACAAAGAAAACTAAACACGGCAAAACAATATTTTCCTTTCATTTTGCTCCAACCGAGGGTCAACACTAGTCTTGATATGACAGCTCTCTAAATTCTCCATGCTAATTAGATAATTAATTTACCTTTATTAACTTTGAGTTGGTAATTATTTAATATTATTAGCTTAGTGTTAGAACTAGACACAAGTGGTATCACAAACTGAACTTTCATAAGATTGAAAGTGGTCTGTTTGTTAAGAAATAAGCACGGTTAAGAAAAGCAGAAGACTAAGCTATAATGAGTAGACTTCTAAATGATAATGTGGTAACATCAGGGATCAAGCACCCGCAAGGGTTGTTAAGCCTACCTGTAGTTACTGGACAAGATAGTGTACTTGCTCTACAGTCCATTACCCTCCTCAGGAGGACAAATGGGCTCATAGGTGAACTGTAAGGGTCACCCAGTGAAATCCTATTGGGTGGTGGGAGAGTGGTAGCCTTACCACAGACTAGCACACCATCAAGGTGGGGGAGGGGGAGGGGAAGGGGGAGGGGAAGGGGGGAGCAGCAATATCCCAGTCATTTCTTGCTATGGGAACACATGGAACTAGCTGACAGCCAACAACTAACGACATGTAAATTCAGTAGCTGAAGATGGGCTTATCAACAGATGAAATTTCACCTGAAAAACAACACCTTGTGAACATTTTGAGGAAAGCTAACTGAGCTGCTTAGTTTATTTGTTATCTACATCCCTGAGAACCAGCAATAAGTGCCAGAGCATCAAACTACCAGGCTCTACAATACCAGTCCTGCAAATTATTTCTGACATGATGTACATGTATGTAGAAATCTTACTTTTTAGAGTATGCTGCCAGGAGGAATAGTGGATCCAGAAGTTTTAGCAAGACAGAAGCAGGAACCTGTAGACAGAACGCATGAAAACAATAAGCATTGAAACAATACATGTACCTCTTGTGCAAAAGTTTTATGCTTACAACAATGCATGTGATATCCCAGGGGTGGACTCGCATACACTGTACAAAAAGGACGGGGGTGCTCATCATGCCTTTTGGAGGTTAAAAAAGCAATTTTTGTACCTTGTGAGACGTTTTAGCCTTAAAAGGTCCACAGCGGGAGCTTTTGCTGTACCTTTTAGGGTATTAACCTGAAAAATATACCAGGTCGTGTTTTTCACTGCTGTCAATCACCTTAGGTGACCTTGCAGGAAATAAACAGGAAGCAGTTCATTTCAATAGGTTCAAAAGGTCATGACTGTGAACTGTGATAGATAGAATGTAATCCATTTGTTTGCTCTTTGTTTACGGCGTGTCGTGGTTATGCTTAACAGCAGTGAAGACACAAACATGGGTTAGGACCCTAGTCAGCCTCCGCCATTTTCGACACCATCAAAATTATTGATATTTCATGGGGAAGTGAAATCTTATTCTTTTACTGTAAGTTGTGTTCCTGAAAGTATGTTTAGTAATGGGTTACCATTAGTAGTTTCACAGTGATTTCCTTCATTTCGACATGCCCCAAATAAAATATAATAGACAAACTCTCGCATGTAAACAAACACTGTGGCTGACTAGGGCCCTTTAATAGTTCACATGCATGTTATTGAAAAACGCAGTTTGTAACAAATGATGCTCTTGTACCTTGTCATCAACAACACTTTCGAGCTCTGCTACAAACACAGACACCATGTGAAGGCGAATTCCATCAGGAACCTGAATGAAAAAAAACTTAACTGTTCACTACCTGATTGACATCCAGTTTCCCTTTTCCATATTAAGACATTATCAAACAGACAAGTAATGAGAAAATGAACAAAATCGTAAAATTGGAAGATCATCTTGATGTGACCAAATTCTCAGAGTAAATTTAGCCATGAAAATTATACAGCAATTAAGGAGTAAGAAGAATTTGTACATGTATGTACATTTACATGCATGGATTTTTACTGACACAGAAATATATATACCTTATTTGATGGTTAGACAGATAATATAGACATGGATATTTTAAGAAAAGTGAAGTGTTTTTTCTCACTCCAGAGGAACAAAAAAAAGCCAGCAAAATACACTGTCACACCTACTTGGGATACAAGTACATCCACTAAGTGTACACCACCATTTGTCACAGCAAAATGCATGCTCAAATATCTTTGAATCTATTGCTCAGGGGTTTCATTTACATTGACAGCAGGAGGGCAACTGGTTTTGCCTTTTTGCCTTTAATGATAGCCCTAATTGCTTCTACATTAAAAGGAAACCTCTGTTAAGGGAGTTGTGCATGATGCATAAAAATAATTAATTCACATACTGCCTGATTGGTAGGGTTCATGGGCTCTTCATGGAAAATATTGCTCACTTCACTAACCAACCTGACAGAGCAATATTGTTTATTGTTAGTACTTACTAAAGAACATTCCTCTCTTATAGAGTACACAGACTATTGCAACAATAACTTGATATAATTTACCATTCTTCCCAGGCAGCTTTCTTGAGAAAATTAAAAGTTTCTTTCACAAAGAAACGGATGAGCTGAAAACAGAGGAAAACAACATATATTAGCATGAAATTGCTACGGAGAAAGAAAACACTTCACTGTAACATGGTTATGGGCTAAGTGTCCATCTTGTCAGACTTTCTCCTGGTTTTAGCAGTATTAAGTAACCAGGGGTATTTTTTCCAGGGGATCACCTCTGGAATAGCCTGCTAACACAAGCAGATTTCCAGCTTTTGTTTTATTTTTTGGTGAAGTGAAACAAAAGGCGGAACTCTGTCTGTGTTTCCCTAGAAGGCATGCACATATCCACTCTAAGGTTATATCCTGGGATTAAATTTACTATTACCCATTTATATCCCTGGGTAGAGAGGTGCACAGCAGGGGTTTCAATAAGGGCCAGGCACCAGGCAAATTGACTGGCTGTCAGGAAGATCTTGCATGCCTGGTTTGACCATTACAGGAAAGTTTTTCTTATTAAGAAGTTCAGTTCAAAAAACTTTTCCTACCCGTAAAAATCAATTGCTTTCCTGATGAAAACTTAAATGAAACCCCTAGTACTTGTTAGTATATTGACTAATACAGTGCAATGATCTTTGCCAGGGCTCAGCCCCAGACCACTCAATCTGGAGCTCTGAACACTAACCATTAAACCATCGCAGATCTCACCCTGTAACATGAATAACGGTATAATTTTTATGATTGATTAATTCTATTGCTTATGGTGGCTTACCAAGTAAAACTTGTCCAGTCTGAGCCGGTCTATTCCATGCCATTCTCTTTGCATTGTTTTGAAAAATGTTTTGATGAACAGTAGGGCTGAGGAGCAATAAAGTACTTCTATCAGTGTTTGTAAGCAAATCTACATGACATAATATTAAAATGATTGTTTTGTTTCCAAGGTAAAAAAATGTTACTATTCATAAAAAGAAATAATGATAAATACATTTTTAATAGCTTGTAGTTCTTGTTGTTCATGAAAACTAATGAATAAAAATCAAAACTTAAATCCTGTTTGGTTACTAGAAAATAATGCTTTTTGAGAAATTAGAGTGTAGATTAATTACAAGTTTCCTCTACTATACCTGATTTTTCATTCCTAAAGTTGAGTACAACTTGAGAGATATTCAAAGCCAGTTCTTCCTGTCAATAAATGACCACAACAGAGTTAGTCTCAATTATGCTTACAGTTGACACTAGATCTGACATCCAATGTACCAATAATTTTATCACTGTAAATCCTATCCGTGACACACCTTTTCAGAGCTAACAGAGAGATAATGAGAGTTTTTATAGGACCTCGGGTATGGGTCACACTTTTTACTTTTCGCTATAAGTAATGCTTAATGGTTAATGACATTCACCAAAAGCTACCAAATTGGCCCTACAGGCAACACAGGCCTTATGCTTCACTGACACCAAACGAGCATTCCAAAAATATTCCAAACACTCTGTGTTTAACAGTTACCACATGCACATTAAGTCAGGACATACTAATTTAAGTAGATAGCTGTTTACATATACCTGAATAAGAGGCTTATCTGACATCCACATACAGTAGAAGAGACCCTTCCATATTTTCAGCAAATCTACCTCGCTGAAACCTTTAAAAATAATTTATACTTCATTAATGGATTCTGGAAATTTTAATCCTAGTAATAAAGCAAACTTACATGTGGATACATGTAAAAGTAGCTATGTAGGGCATCAGACTCTATTTCCAACCGTCATTGAAATACATGCGTTTATTTTTAATCCTTTTAGGTTTAGATTATGCAGTCTTTCGTAAAATCTCGCGCTTGCTTAACTTACAGCGGACATGGTCAACATGTACAACACACAGCATTCTAAGTGTTTATTTGTCTCAGTGTTTATAAGCAAGTTCATATTATAATTTAGTACCACGGTACCTGGACCATCCTTTGGCCGGCTGCTTATCCAAGCTCGAAGCTTACTCACAGCTCTATCTCTGATTATCTTCTCGTTATTCGCTAGTTTCTTCGCGAAGTGTGCCTCAGCACCGCCGGCCGCCATCTTAGATTTGCAACCACGTGCTGCTCAGGCGCATGCACAGTATTGGCACAACCGCTGAAGACCAAAGAGATTTAGTAGATGTAGTGCGTCACGAAATGTCCCCTGTGTGGCATGAGGTTCAAGTTCCTGAAGTCTCATCTCGATGCAAAAACCAAATGTTACGCATTTCGTGGTGTGGTTAACCATACAGTAACCGAACTGATGAGATGGAGTCTGGCAATGCACAAATGTTCTCAAAAATTTTATTTCAACGCGGAGCGCTTATGCAATTTACGCGCCACGGTCCCCACCGTCCAGGGTCACTGTATTTACTCGTATAAGCGCCGTCCCGGGATAAGCGCCTCCCTCGAATAAGCACCTAAGGGCAAACGTCGCATTTGAGACAAAATAAGGAAATTAGTGCGGTCCCTGACCCTGAATAAGCGCTGCGCTCCGATGTGGGGCTTATTCGAGGAATTCCGTGTAACTTAGAAACCACTTCAAAGCAATGGAAACTTTTTTTCATCAAAAGTTGGGAAATGATGAGACAGTGAGATTGAAGACTGAAGATACCATCGGTAAAGCAATTGAAAAATGCTGGAAGAGAAGCTAAGAGACGCGTGGTGACACCATTAGTTACTGTAAAATTTTTATACAGAGAGAAAATATACTGTCAAAATAAAATAAAAGATTTCTTTTCCCGTCTAATTTTTGAATAAGCGCCGCCCTCGATCGAATAATGAGTTATTTAAATAAGCGTAACCTGCGTAGCTGGTGAAATCGCGCGGAATAAAGTTTTGTGGCGGTATTGTAGGCGCGCGGAATAAATTTTTCGTGGCTTCGGCCCTCGCGATTAGCGACTGCGCGGCCAAAACTTCATTCCACGCGCCTACAATACCGCCAGCTACGCAGGCTAAAATGAGCGCCGCGGTGCTTGTTCGAGTAAATCCGTATGTACACTTATTTGTGTCTCTACTTTCTCTCTTTTATTTAATATGTGAAAGCTGTGAAAAGGATGTAGTTCCCAGCTTGACCAGTACACCCTACGGAGAAGCAATTACGAGTAAAAGGAACGACGCCCCTTGACATCCACTTCTTTTTTATTTGTTTTCTAAGCTTTTCAATTTTTTAATGGTATATATATCATAACATTTACAGGAAACATACCTGCGGGCATTGATACAAGTTTTATCAGATGCATGTGAAATTGTCTTTGGCGAAAGCCGATCAGTTTCAAAACTTAATTAAATAAGTCACTGAACCACCGGAGGCTTCATTTCATTGACTTCATTAGCACATAACGGAAAACGGGAAAGCACAACTATCACAAAGTCAAGATGACATTATCTTTCATCAAGCTCTTGATTTTTTTTTTCACAGTTGGTAAAACTGAGTGATTGTTCGCACGTACTATAGTTTAAAGTATGTTTACAGCGAAATGTCGTGTTTTTGATTTTGTTTTTTTTGCTCGTCACTGAAGTGGCATTACACCAGATATATAATACGGAAAAACGACTGGGTTGAAAACATGGTTTTCGAAAAGACCAACCTTAGATTGTTTTGAAATCTACTCTCATAATTTAGAGTTCTACGCGGGGAAAAAAATACTACGGAGATTCATAGAAGAAGCAATAACTGATCATTAATATCTATCTTTATCGATAAAGAAATAGCTAAAACGTGCTTAGTGCAGCTAGAATTTTCACTTGATTTGATCATACAAAGGTACAATTTTTTTTGTGTTCTCTTCCAAGGTTGAATACTTTTAGATATGATAGGGTTTTTGTCTGTACATTAGTTTTAGTAATGGATCTTTGTTTTAACGCTTTTTGCATATGATAGCTATTTGTATGTATATAAATGAATATGGATTAAACTCTTGTAGATCCTAGTCTCAAATGCCCAGCATCTGAAACTGTGTTGGTTGGGAGAGAAATCAACCGACTTCTTCGTCGCGTATTAAGAGAACCCTCGAAGCTAACAGAGCCTCGGAAAGACCTTTGTTGGTTTACTATGCCTCTAGCTGAAACGACAAACAATACAAGCGACAGAAACAACTCCAAACCTCTCATGGCATAGTTCAGGATCAACCAGGGCCAGGCTGGAACATAAGGCGCGTTTGAAAACACTCCATACACACTACTCATAGAGTACACTTGCAACGCGCAGAGTATAGCTCCTCCTATCACTACTGCAATGCAAGTTTTAAGCATAGAACGAGTACGTCGACCACGAACACGGTTCGTAGCAGTCCATGCTATAGATTTACTCCCGCTTTCTTTTCGTCTGTGAACTTTTGCTCCTCTGTAGTTTTTCCGCAGAAGATACGCAACGAATGAATAGAAAAACGATAGCATTAAGCTTAGAGTGACATAGATCATTTGGCAAACAAAAGTCAAACCTTCAAAGCTCGGAAGATAAAACAGAACCAAGTCAGCGACTAACACGAGCAAAAAATACGGTACAGTTATAAACGCAATTTTCCTGGCAGTGTACCATGTCTGGAATCGTTCTCTCAAAACAAAGGTATTTTTTAACACTAGAAAAAAGAGTGTGTAAGCTGTAATAATACAAGGATTGCCCAGACTCCATAACACGTTTAAAAAAGCTTCGGGCAAAATTCGCTTCGTGTTGTAAGCGTCGACGGACAAATACAAACATCGAGACAAACCGAAGATAAATAACAGAATTAGCACGACTAACGAAGCTTTCTTCGGTCGAGCAGCTCTGTGCTGCAGGGTTCTTAGAAGAATTGTCGCAGTTGAAATCATGACGATTGCAAAGGTAGCTCCGATCCCGTATTGATAAAAATCCCAAGCAATTCCCCATGTTGGTACGGCTGAATACCACTCTGGCATCGGTTCCCCCACGACACTTTGTAATGTTGGAAGTTTTGTAACCTCTGCCTCGGGTTCGCCTTTCGTGAAGTTACTCAAGTCTTGTTTGGAAGCCATCTTTATGTCCGTTATCGGCGTTTGACCTGAACGGGTACAAGAAATGTTCCCCGAAAATTGTAAATATTTAGCTTTTTTGAGGACTGTACGAGAGTGCAGACTGTGTTTCTCTCCAGCTGTCTGGAAAGCAAATAAAGTAGCTGAAAAGATAGATAGTCGTATATAAAGCAAAAACTTCCGCAAACTTAGCTATTTATAGTATAAAATATATAGAGGAAACCAGAAAGGAGAACAATGCCGTTTCAAAAAGGCAAATTGTACGAGATAAAATCCTACAAAACACCCTGCAGACTAATTAAGTACATAGAACTTCCTGCACGCAGTGTGTTCAAGACAACATGGTTATTTTTGTGCATTTGAAAAATATACACTTACATATTTCATATGTTTTTAAGGGCGTGTTGATTTTCAAGAGTACTAATCGAACACTTCTTAGCTATAGAATTCACTCAGTAAAAGAATCAAGGTTGAATTATGTACACACGAGTTATTTCAACGCTTAAGGATTTTTTCCCTGAAGTAGTTACTCATAAAAATGCAAATTTATTGGCTACTCTCAGTTGAGTGCCAGTACACTATAAATTTTCTCGTCACTGAAGTACTTTGAAGGAGAAATTGATCTTTTTGCAAGTCGTTTATTTGCCATACAACTTCCAGTGCAGAGCCGGAAAACTTGAAGAACAGCGCTATGTAATGAATTGATCAGTTGTCAGTTTTTATCTATTCAATATAATTAAATTAAAAACTCGTATTCGTGAAAAACATATCTTTCATTCTTTAGATAATGGACACGACCTGAGGACATCAAGTTTACTTGCAGTAAACATAACGGCCGATCTTTCAATCGAAAAAAAAAGCTAAAATTCCCCACATCGTTAATTGAAATACAACACGGTTCCAATAATTATAACTTACAGAAAATGTCGAAAATAACTCCCAACATAATTTGAGTAAAATATAATTAGGAATAAGATTCGGCCTAATGCAGGCTAATCTAGCTGATCTGTTTTAAACTCGGGATCACAACGGATCATGGAAAAATCACTGAACTGTGTTATAGAATGTCGAATTCAAAATTCAGAACTTTAAAACACCTTAAAAATCAATGATATGACAAATAGATAAATCTAAGTGCTTCCTAGATTTCCTTGCCGCCCCCAATCAAGACTGAGCTGCAATTTGATATATTTTCGTTGTAAAACGACGAATGGCTGCTTTTTCCCTACGCGATTTACCTTCATGATAATCTGATGATAATCAGTTCCCCGTGAATCACGACTTTGTAATTGTCACTAAAGAGATTACTTCAACCTGAAATCGTCATCTGGAAAAGGTGTACGTTTCTGCTCTATTTACCACGTAACGTCACCTGGACGCCTTCCAGAACTACAAGGGAGGCAAAGGGGAGGGAGCCTGGGATCCAGGTTGCCTTACATCAACTCCCCTCATCATAAAAATACACAGCTGCTTGATCCAACAGTTAAAAATGTGTATTCTAGTCACTTCCTAGGACGATTTTATTCTACCTCACTCATACATTTACTCAAACTAATCTCAAGACAAATACAGGTCATCAACCTCTTGGTCGGCGGCTAACCAGTTGAACCTCAGATTCCGGCGGCTACAGAAGCATCACAGAAATATTTTACTCATCAGCGCTTGGAATAGAATTTAGAACTAAAATCAAGAATCATCTTTAAATCGTTACTAGTGTAGGCTAAGTTTTTTACGAAATTGATGACGTCATTTTTACATCCGAGAGGAAATCATTAGTCTCCGGAGCTACCTTTTCCTCGTACCTAGGCCCCGCCGGCTAAAACAGACAGGTAGGTCAGGGGACGAACAGTTTCGTAACCCGAATACGTTCTTCCCTAGCTCTTCCTATAGGTCCTTTCTGGACATGAACGCATGAAAATCGGCCCAACTTTTGCTCCCATACAAGCTCATACATGGAGGCGATTTTCTTATCAAGTTTCAGCCAAATCGCGCCAACAGATCGTAACATATAAATCAGCCTACGCAGTTATCGTTTAAGTTAATTCATGTCTCATTCTTAGACACGCTCCGATGATAACAGGGAACTGGAGTCTTATTCTATGATATGCGCTTATCTTGATCGATGAATCATAAACGATATTGAAATAATGAGGCACGATACACAACAACAATCACATTCATTACTATTTAAGGTTAAAAAACGTTGAGAAAATGCAGAAACAACATTTAGAATTCCACGCACTTGCAATTTCCGCCTCTCGTCTTGTTGTTCAATATCAGTTGCTTATTTGTATTTCTAACATTTTTTTTTCTCTTTTCACGGGAAGCGTGTGAAAATAGTTAAGGAAATTTGCAGCATGGAAAGTACGAGGGAGTTTAACACAAAACCATTCCGTGACCATGAAGATAAAAAGCATTTCGCTTTACTCGTTACAGTAATTAAGATAAGGTCGCCTAGATCAAGAAATAACTGAACCACTGTATAGGCAAAAATAGACGGCTTGAGATAAGAATGAAAGAATTGTGTGTAGACGTAATAGCTGCCACGGTTGTATTTTCTATGTTTTACTTTATAAATCAAAAGAAGGCAGCATAAATCACTTTATCTAAAGATTCTAAATTCTTAGGCCCTATATTGTCGAATAGTCGCTCTACAGGGTAGGAAAAAGCCTGGGTATTCAATTTGTTGTATTGTAGCCATGAGTGTAATTAGCATAGCTATTAAGCACAAGGAGCCTGAGCTAATGCCATTGATGGATAGAGATTAATTGTAAAGAACGTTGACAAAAAAACAAGAGACAAAAAGTGCCATAATTGTAATGGTTTGGACAAAAGCGATTTTATTGTTACAACTTATGTGATTAGAACTGCAGACTTGCGAAAATTCGCTAATTGCAACTTCGTTATCTTCAATTAGCAGTGTGAAGTAGATAAAAATCTGGTCGTAAAACTCAAAAAGATTGTCAGAAACTGGCAAGAAGGAACACTGAGGCAGCCACGCGAACCAGGTAGGAGGCATTCCAATAACTTTGAACCATTTTGTAGATAACTTTCAATTACGCCAAGCTTTTCAGGTCCTTCAGAGACCATCTTGCAGCTTTAATTTAAATTTCTCAGCGTAGGTAGCATATAGATCTGAACAAACCCGAACTATATCAGGTAAAATTTACTAACTGAAGATTTCGCAAAGTCTACCGGCGACCACAGTCGCGCCTAGATTACGCTTTTTGCTTTTGCCCGTTAGGTCAGATTCATTTAAATTCGCGAACTGCTGATTTGATCATTTTGGGCCTTGTTGAAATCGCTACCGACTGATAGCAACAAACATCTCTATTTTTTTTTTCCATTTTGTGTATAGTCGAAAGTTGTCGTGATTCGAACTAGCGGTTGAAAAATATAACCTGGTTCTTATAGTGCAGTTGTAATATCGTAAACATTTTTCAAAATGGTTACAAGTGACTCTTTCCCAACGGGTTAAGACAGAAGATTAAATGTCTCAAACATCATGAGTGCATACCACTGAGTTTGAGAATGGCCGACCCAATCGCGTAGCGATCGAAACACCATTACAGTTGAGTCCCGATTCCTTGAATCTCTCAGTAACGGAAACGAATATTGCTGTTTGAAACATGGGAGTTCGAGATATCGAAGACCGCCATCGAATTAGCCGAATTGTGGCATTGTATTTTCAGGGTATGTTTTCATAGATTACTGCAAAATTCTGTTTTTGTTGGAAATTCAATTCAGATCTTCATTTACAAATAAAACTCAGCTAAAACAGTAAGCCAAATCGGGAGAACAAAACTCAACATTTGTGCTCAGCCGGCCGATTATACCTGTGCAGACTCTCAAAGGCTGGTTTCAATCCAAGGAAAAACACAGCTGAAAGAACGGGTGATAATTAATCTTTTGTCTGTTACGTTATGTTTGAATCAAAAATCCTCTCTATCATGGATGAATAGAGTCTGACAGATTATTTCGCGTATTTCTGATAAAGATTTGTCGCTTGCTGGAACCTGTCTGGAAGACTTTATAGTTCGCTTCAATGTGACTGAGATAAATGAAATCAGCATTAATATTTGGTTTCGAAGTTTTCTAAGGTTCGACTAATATCTAATGTTAGTTTTTTCCCAAGTAGCCGAAAATCGCTTCGTTATGGAGGGTTCCATTCAGTTAGCTGCAAGAGACCATATGTTAGCGGTTAAATATCCTTTGTCATGTTTGTGCAAGGAAAATCAAAATGAAATGAATTTCGGTTCGAGGTTTAAGAAATCGAAGGCTCGAGAATCAAGCCTTTTTCCGCAAATTGCAATGTTCAAATGGGTCTGCATATAATAATATATTAGTATCAAGGTAAGTCTTCACAGGAAATAAAAACTGGGAAAATACAACGGCATGAAATGTCTTAATATTTTGTCGTCAGCAATTGTCAATATTACACGGTCTTGTCTATACATTCTCTTACAATATAAAAAATATGAATTATTTCATATATACTTCACATCATAAATAAATCAATTATTTGCTTTGCTTTATTTATTGGTCGTGTATTTCGTTACCACAAGGATGAATAGATTAACTTACTAGTAGATAAAATTACCACAAATTCCGCGCGTACAACTCTCTTTTGCAATTAGCTCTTTAAATTTAATTTGGACATGCCTTTGGTTCCCATTTTTAACTAAAAAATCACAAAATCTAATCTTTGTGTAACGAATAATAAAAATATAATCTTTGTGTGACGAAACTTTAATTAGAAGTCAACCAAGGATATGAAAAAAGTGATAATATGTGCAAGAAAACCAAACACAAAATTATCTCAGTGACATATAGGCAGTGAAAACAAACGGGAAGACGCAATTCACCAATCAGCGACTGGAAACGAATGCGCACGCAACCGGTTCAAAGCGCGGGAAAACACTTTCGCGTTCGGTTCGATCTTTGCTCCTAATTGGTTAAAAATAATAGCGTGTTCGCGCTCTGATTGGAGGAAGCAATTAGCACGAGTTTAATGAGCCAGTTACAGAGCTCAGGAAGAACTAGTCCATATTAAAGCAAATCTGCAATTACTTTCTGATCGAAAACAGCTTAACATATTGGTTGAAGCACATCTAAGAAGGTTTGATTTATAATTCATTTGGTCATCCTTTCCGATACAAGAATAAAGATTGCGGAGTTTGGCCATGATACATCTAAACTAACCAGAATCAAATATAGATGAATCGAATAACGTGATTTTAAATACATTGTGTGCTGTTGCGAACTACACGCAAATTTCATTCATCAAAGTGAAGAAAGATATCACTAGCCGACAGAAACAAAAGTTTGGTACCACCACCAAGACGTTTGATGCAAAGATACCACAGGATTTATCAGTCAAACCTGGGTTTTTCGAGATAGATACTGTTCCAAAATTGACCATTCGAAATTTGGACTGAATATTGAAACAGATTTGTTGAACAAATATTGTTGCCAAACATCGCAAAACAATGACTTCGCAATCATTTTGTTGCAAATATTAAATGTGCGTTGAATCTTATCCGAGGTATTGATCATAAACAGTTTCGGCACTGTTTGGTGAACAGAGACTGATCGAAGGCTAAATTAAAACTTAATGCAAAATACAAATCAAAGTAAAATATATTGCGCGGGGCAAGAAGACAACCAGATTTCTTCAGTTGCCAGAAACTTTGAATTCGGCATTTGCAGTTTGACCGTTAACCATTAATTTAACCATTAATGCTACTTCACAAGAAACTACGCTAAAAATGGGGTATATATACGCCCAAGATTTGCTGAATTTAATCAGTTCTGGAGGTAAAGTAAATGTCTTTTCGTCAGTCAAAACAGAGATGAAAATTTTCAGTTCCTTGACATGAAAGAAAACACGATATCTCAGATATTCTAGCTGTGATTTTTAGTCGCAGTTGTTTTGCATGCATTGAGATCGCAATGAGAATCAACAGTGTTTTATAGGTGTGATAAAATTCAGTTTCGTAAGTCTTGCTTTAGAGCGTTTTCTTTCTTAAAGGTGCTCAGTCGCGGTTTCTTTGAGTTATTTTGACCAGGTGCAAAATTACTTTTAAATTGAAGGACCCTGAAAATAATAGTTTACTAAGATAGAAAAACACCAAAGAGATAATAATAAACCAAAAAGGAACAAGGATGGTTAAGGATGGAGAAGATTAACACGAATTACAAACGACGAACTTGAAAAATTTAGGCTAAACTTTCCGAGATGCGCATACCATGACGTACTCAGCTCCTTTAACCTGGCGAATAGAAATTACACTTTGGTATTATAAAATAAATTTTTGAATAATTTTTTCTTGAAAAAAAAAAAGATTGCAGGATTTGTACGGGCTAGCTTATTTAAATATCATACCGTTAAATTCCTTCTCTTAGATTTTGGTCGAAATCCGAAGGATGTATATCGAACAGTGTCGAAAAGATCGTTCGTCCTATATCTAATAATGTGTAAACTGTTTCCTCTCTCAAAGAATTCAGGTTTTATCTCTTTAACGTTCGTGCAGTAAAAAGTAGCTTTTTGCACGACAACGTCCACGCAGTTTAAGTCCCGGATGTGGAGGCCAGGTCTTAGTGGCGCTAAAAAGTGATGCTTGTAACGGACGATCGCTGATTGGACAGAGCTAACAATGGCTTTTAAGTATTCTTCTTGACTGTTTGCATCCTTTGCCGTCTTTGTGATAATTAGAAACACTCCTTGGAGGATCAGCGTCTCTGGCGCTCGCAACAGGAGGTAAATAGGTCTTAGAAACATAAATTTTTAACTTTTCCCAGTTTTCTTCCTTGTGTCTCTCCTGAACTACAACAGAAGGGCATGTGCTAAATTAGGTATAGTTAACTTACGACCAGTCTCTTATCTCGATGTAGGGAAAACACGAGCTTTACCGAGTGCGAGCATATGTCTTACTTAATTTTTCTGGGCCCGTAAAGGAAAACAAAACTATCAGATTAATTATTTTCACGAAACATTAGTCGGTAATTTCGCACGACAGAAATTACACTCCCGGAATTCGAATTAAAAAAGTCATTTGTTTTTATTTAAAAACGTTCTGTCATTTAAAACTGTATAAGCTTTAATCAAGATGGCTTAACACTCGGAGTCTTTTAAGGTTTTATGTTTCCCTCAAAAAGTCTATTACGTAACAGACAACGTTGATACGAAGAAATAACAGCAATATTTACTCCAGAAGAGACAGTGTTTATTAGCAGCTTTTTTATTTATTGTTTTTAAAATTAAAATACCTGAAAAGACTTAGTTAAACTTAAATGAACTTCGGGAGGTATTGCAAGGGCCTTTATAAAAGTTAATTTACATAAGGAATGGTTATCTTGGCAGTCCTTTTGTGTTCGTAGAATATTATGTTTTTCAGTGTTTCCTCTTCGTGAAATAATTGGCATCTTTTATACACAAACGGGCCTGCATTTCATTTCAGCCTTAAAATAGTACAGAAACAAAATGTGACACAAAATAAAGGTGTCCATTTGTTCTGTTTAGCCTGCAAAAATGGAAAATAATTTGACAGCTGCTCCACCATCCCAACAGACGGTTTAGAGATTGACATCAATTTACTCTTGCAAATATAGAAATCGAAGTAAGATGAGACAAAAAGTCACGTGCAACAAAGGACTTAATGGAGGTAATTTTAGCCACGTCAAAATATTGACGATTTGAACGGAAAAAGCAATCTTGTGGGATTATCCGGCAACAAAAAACAAACAAACTTCAACTTTAATTTTAAAAAAAACATCTGACACCATGAACGTATTGCTTTCTCGGACAAGTAAACAGGAACTTAAAACGTATTTTCCATAAAAAAGCCTTATCAAAGAATATCTGAATATCGTGTTCGTCTCGCAACTCTAATTGTCTGCTTTATCTCATTTTATTCCAACAGATTTGGATAAAGAGGAAAACGCTTAGCTTCGACTGTTTGGATAAACTGGTCTTTGTTTCCACTGTCAAAGGAATACTTTTTTCTGAGGGACTGCAGCATTTGAATGGACTTGACTTCACAAAGACTGACAGTTTAAATGCTTTGCTTAAGAGACCGGCAGCATATGGCGGATGAAACAATAAAAACTGATGTCAAATCTGAATAAGAATAAACAGTTTGGATGACTTAAGAAACAAAACATCCACATGTACGTGCTGGCTTAAAATTGCTTACGAAAATCAAAGATCCTGGATTTGAGCACGCGACAGAAGTGCCGAAATGAGCTCAATTCCGGAGCCAGAAAACAGAGTTAACAACTCAGCACCCGAAACAGAGCCGACAGTATCCGAACATCATCCGAAGGCCGAAGTATTAGCCGAGCCCCTTCCGGAATGGTCGAAGGCCGTTGAAGAGTGGGGAATTGGGTGGGATTTTCATCAGTACGGCCTGGGCGCCATCTACACCTTGGTTTTCCTCTTCATAGTGATTTCGTTGAGGAAACGCTTCAAAGGAGCTCGGGTCATCCCGCAAAACAAAGTCCCGATCATTGTTTTGAGTCTATTGGGACTGTTCTGTTTTACAAGAAGCCTGTTTCTTTGCATTGATGCGTACCATTGGAGGAAAATTGCCCCCGTTTTCGTGATAAACATTCTCTGGGGAATTGGACAGCCTTGTCTTATAACTGCCTACACTTTGGTGTTTATTGTAATGAGGAACGCTCTAGTACTCAAGCTTCGATTTCAGAAGTGGTATAATACAAGGAACATTGCTATGGCAACACTGCCATATTTCTTCTTCGTGTTGGGAGCTGAGTTCACGATTTCTTTCATCCCTGCGTTCAAGGGACTAACTTTCGCTTGCCAAGCCCTGTATATTGTGTTTGGTTTGTCTCTCACGGTATTCTATTCCATGGTAGCGATTCTAATCTGGAAAAAATTTACAATCATCGAATCGAGCAAGAGATGGGCTACAGAATCATCCAGAACACGCGGGACTCGCACGCGCGCGATCTTTCGCACGTGTCTCGCGGCAGTCGTGGGCGGCGTTCTAATTTGCGTCATGCAAGTCTACGCAATGTCAAGCATTTATGGTGTTTTTTCCGACGCGCGTCACGTTTCAGCATGGCCGTGGTTAGCGTTTCAAACGATGCTTCGAATTGTGGAGATTTACATGGTGGTTGTCCTGTGGTACGCGGTGAATGAGAGGAACACGCAAGGGAAGAAAAGCGATTCACTGACACCAACTATTGGGTCGGTAGAGTCTCCCGCAAATGAAAACACTGTTGAGCTTCAACACGTTTAAATGAAATTATCTCATAAAGTGACGGAAAAACTAAGAAGTCTTTTTCTTTCCGAGAGTGCCGAAAACCCTTGGAGACCTGGGTGGGCATATCTACAATCGTGGACAAAAGTCCTTGGGACACTTATGTAATGTAACGAATTATCTGTGTTTTACAACCTGAAGTTTGAAAAAAGCGCTCTATCCTTTTAAAAACGTGTGGCTGTCCCCCCCCCCCCCCGAACACCACACACACACACACACACAATACAATGTTGAAAATCAGGTGAAATTGCAGTTACTAGTTTTCAACATTGTATGAGGGGTGGGGGGCGAAGTTAGGAAGGTGAAGTTGTATTCGCGTCTGGCGTGTGCGCAAAAGCGCCAAAAGTGCAAATTTGTCCTAAGACATTTGTGCATGATTGCAGATACAGCTAGCGTTATGTCTAAACTAGGGTTGTGTTTTTTTTAAACAGCAAAGCTTTTTGCTGGGAAAAAAAGCGAGTTCAGTAGTGTTAGCGGTTTAAAGTCAGGAAAAAACGCTAGTTACAGCGAACACAAGGAACTCAGTGTAAGGAATGCTCAAAAGAAAACATACGTAGCGATGCACAGTCAACACATGCAGTTTTTTCGATATAGTGTGTTAATTTTTTTTTTGTTACAGTAGAATCCCGATTTCTCGAACCCTCCTTTTTTTGAACCTCTCGACAACTCGAACCAAAAGGCGTTTCTGTCTCCTCAGTCAAACGCTATAATTTTACCCCCGATTTCTCAAACTATCTGATTTTTCGAACCAATTTTCGTTTCTCTTGAAGGTCCGAAAAATCGGGAATCCACTGTATATGACGGAGAAAATTCCGTCAATGTGATTGGCTGAGAGCAAGCCAGTTTATCGTAAAATTTCTTGCACTAGAGAGCAAATTAATACAGGCTTGTTGGTGATTTTCTCGGGCATATATGCAAGTTTGAGCAATTAAAGTCTTACCGTACGATCGAGTGATATTTGAAACTTTTCTTAAACTGCGCTCGCCTATAGGCTTGTGCAGTTTTGAAACAATTTTTCGTAAATGTGAATCCTTAATTGTACTAGCATTTATGCAATTACTTGCACTTATTTTACCGGGTGTGTTGAAAGACTTCGAGTGCTTTGCGACTTCAGTGCTGAATAATAAAAATATTACACCCGTATAGAACTCCCTGTATGGACATTTTGCGTACATTGGCTCCGGGGGGAGAACTCCCATATAAAAAGGACAAGGTGCTCGTCGTACTTCTTAGGGTTAAAAAGCAGTTATGGTTCCTCTTCGGTTGTTCAGCTTCAAAAGATCCACAGCGGGAGCTTTTGCACTACGTTTTAGCCGTATTGAGCCTCCTTTAGTTGAATCTACCGCGCGCTGGTATTGGTTGATTCATGGTCACGTGCCAATGGCAAAATTTTAATGTCCTCCGGCAGGCAAGAAATAAGCAATTGTTCTCCCCCTCCCCTCCCCTCTCCCACAAACCGGAAGCTACTTTCACTTCTACTTGGCTAATTACTTTACACTTTATACAGGTCCCTTGGAGAACGGTTAGGTTTGTTTTCACGAGAGCTAACATTCCCCGACACGGCTCGAGCAAGCTAGCTGGTAGTCAGGAGCATGCTTTTGGCCGCTTTCGAAAAATAAAATGCATTGCTTATGACTGTTTACATGAAAAGGTCCGTATGGCAAAATCCCCACCAAGACAGAACCAATCAGAAGGCCCGGATTCTCCTAAACACTACCTTACCATATAATAAATAGATATATACAGGATAAAAACTCGAACAAGATGACATTGAAACATTAAAAGAGAAAAGCAAAAGGTAAAGCTTAGATTCACTCACGATCAGAGTTTAATGTGTGTGGTTCTTACACCCACCAGTGTGTTTCCATTCAGTTTACAGTCTTTTTATCATATTACCCGTCTAACAAACTAACTAGCACACCAATTGATGATTAATTTATTTCTGCTCCTAAGTTAAACTTCATGGTCAGCTTATCTTCTGCTGCCAATTCTGTAAAACGATAAAAATGTTAATGTTACTGAGGAATTCCTCTAGCTGGCGGAAGTCCGTTATAATTAGCTTTCCTTCGTACTTGGCTGTTATCGTAGATAATTCTACCAAAATCTCTTAGGAGTATGAATGAGATTACACATTTAAAGAAAATTAATGCACACACTCTTAAATTTGGAAGACGTGTTTCGGATACTCCGTAGCCATCATCAGTTTCAGGATGTTTACAAGCGACAGAGACTAAATATACGTAAGGTGATAGAAAATTACAATGCTGTTAGCACTTTGAATTCACACTTGTTTCTGTTATTCTTAAAATAACGTGCCTAAAGCTAGGCACCAAGGACAGAAGCTTAAGGACGAATTCTCTGTGCAAGCAGGACACCTGTAGGATAGCAATTTAGCCAGGAAGTCAGCTTGGCAGGACGACAAGATTAGTCAGTAATACAGTTGTTATCCCTGGACAATCTAGTAAAGTTCCGAGACAAGCACCCCACCCGGGGAGGGGAAAGTTTAACACTCAGACACGGGAGCCTTAATTTCCTTCTGTTAGTTAGCAACAGTCAGTTTTGCTATCAAACAGCTCGAGTAGGGGCCCTGGTAACGAGTTCAATCAAACCGCGCGCAGCACTGAATCAGTTCAAAATTTCAGCTATTGAAAAATTCTACCCTTTGTAGGGAGTTTCTTGTATTGCGGCCTTACCAGCTTAGTTACTGAAAGGATCATTCGAGATAGATAAAACTAGCTTACGTGCTCACTTCCTACCAGGGTTCCTAACGTGATAGTAAAGAAACCAGCAATTAGTGAGAAAGAAAAAAAGGAAAGAGAGAGAGAAATGAAGGAAGAAAGGTAGAAAGTAATCAAGTAAAAAAGAGAGAAAGAAAGGAGAAAAAAAAAACACTTAAATCTCAAACTTTGGCAGACTGAAAAGCAAGAGGTTTGTATCAATGCTTCTTCAATCAGTCAATCAGAATTAGAGAGCCCGTTAAAAAAACGTACATGTGTAAATCTAAATAAGATAGTAAAATATACAGACTGTAAAAGCACAAATGCAAAACGAAAAGAGTGAGCGATTTATTCAATGTAAAGCAAATCGTTGACAGACTGAATTTTTACTTACGGTTCCGCAACCCATGCAGCCAAAGCCCTGCCTTTTCCCCAGTCGTTCGCGCGATAGCTAGTAAACCAGTAAAACATATAATGATTAACTAGTGAGGAGGGACGCAGGAAATCATGGGGAGGAGATGTTTGATTGGGCTGATTTAGCAACAGGACGGGAACGTCAGATGACGACTGCAGGGCGCGCGGAATAACCTGGATTCTGTTCAGTTTGACCATATTTGGGTATTTGTACTGCGCGCGCCGTCGTCAAGTGAGGCTCCCGGCGAGGACACAAAAAAAATTGGCGAGTTCAAAACGGAAGAATTCAGAGAGCGAAGCGATCGGGGCGGGGACAGGGGAGCCTGTAGACGTTGTTTTTGATGTGCCTATCCGCCCTTGATGATTATCCTGTAACAACTCAGTCAATGAGGTAATTAGACCTGTCAAGAAGCTACATTTTCTGTACTTGCAAACAGTTCTAATCGACCTAATCAAACAGCTGGGCCCGGCATCATAATATGGAGTGCAAGCAAGCAACATGTTCACGGAATATTTGAAAATTTGCCCCTCCAGAGCCAGTACTTAGAGAGCTTAAAACATATTTTGCAATACTGAAATGAGCCTAAAGAAATTATAAGCACATAGCAAATGATAGAGGTGTCAAATTCGGGGAAGGGACATGCAGATAACAGCGGAAAGTCCGGAAACCATACCTTTGACCAGAAAAAAAAATTGCTATAGCATAGTCAAACGGCTCCACTCTACTAAAAATTCCTCGTCAAGCGTGAACCTTCAGAAGCACGTCTAAAATAACGAAAGGTCGAGGAGTCGAGAGACCGAAAATCAAAAGAGAACGGCAAACGTATAAATGTCACCAATCGTAGGAGTCGTGTTGGGCCGTCAACCGCATTTTACCAAGATCTGTCAGATTTTTATCTCAAAGATGTCAATAATCAGCGATTTAACCAATCATATCATGATAACAGATCCTTGTATCATGGAACGGTGGCATCAATAGAATGTCTACAGGCTTTCTCGCTTCGTTCAGGTTCACCGGGAACCTATTCGCAGGCTACGACACCGCGGCGGACACGGCCGAGTATGCGAGCCTGAAGAAGGAAACAATCTACTTAAAGCAAACTTTGACAGAAAAGCAAGCAGCTTAATCGACTTCTTGGACTCACTGATTTGCATCAGTTGATAAATGTCAAATGAGAACGGACTAAATGGTCTAAAGCGGACTAAAACTAAAGCGAGGTATTGGTAACTAGCTGGACAACAATGAATAAAAGAAACTACATCCAGTGTGAATTTTAAAAATAAAGAAAGAGTTTTTCACTACCGACGTTTTCATTTAGGGTGGGTTTTAAGTCCCGTATTGACAAATTTTCCTTGATTTTACACTGTAAAAAACAGTGCCCACTTGCTAGAATCTCGAAATGGTCCCTTTTGATGTTCTGACGGGTAGAAGTTGAATGATCAGCAACAACTCAACTTGAGTGAGAGCTTTGAAGTGCTCCGTCTTTCTGTCATACAATCTTCTTTTGGTTTTACCAACGTAGAGAGCGTCTCATTTATAAAGCGTGACCGAGGAACAAATCCCGCCAGTGGCAGGGTGGAGGCCTTGAACCCGGGACCTCCGGATTACAACACCAGCGCCCTAAACTACTCGGCCACGCTGCCTTCCAATGTTGACCATCGAATATGAAGTGGCTTTTCTTCGTTGCAACTCAAGCAAATCTTTGAGGACTGATCCTGGTAATGTGGGAGGATCAGGAAGAGAGTATAATTTGGTAAAACAAATTTATTGGTCAACGAGGAACACAAGCCAAAAGAGCACATAATTTCATCGTTATGTTCATGTGACTACAAAAGTGAAGGAGTCCTTGATTGTGAATTGGTTCGTGGAGATCGGCTGGAGAACAGTTACAAGAAAAGAGGCAAAATTGTAATTATATGTGTTCACGGATGAGACAAGGTTATTTGTAATTTCTTATGTAATTTGTCTCTTTTTCATTTGCATGTTTAACACTGACGATCAAGGTATTAGATTCGATCATCGGAGCGAAAAAAAGAAACCACTTTTTACAATAACTGTCTAATTTCTCCCCCGCTGATTGGCTAATTTTTATCATTAATAAGAGTACAGACGGATAAAAGTTTAATTTATGCAAGCTTCCAAGTTCAACTTTCAGCAGTCAAACTGTCAACTTTTTAACCAATGAGATTTTATGGACTTTTTTGAGTAGCCAGTCAAAAAGCGAGAAAAGCTATTGACAATGTTCGCGTCATTTTGAATAAAATTCACTTATTTTTGTTTACGGCAAGTTTACGGCGTCTTTTCCCCTCATTTATTCCAGGTATTTGACCATTTTGGGGTCTTGTTGTTGTAAAAAACAAATTGACGTCATTTTTTTATGCGTCTGTCCTCTTGTTGATGATAAATTTCGTCATAACCTTGTCAAAGTTTACTGAGCCACTTTGACAATGTCATGACGCAATTTATCATCAATAAGAGGACAGATGCATAAAAAACTGACGTCAATTTGTTAATTAGCGATTATTGTCGTTATCGTACCCACATTCACAATTAGCCAATCAGAGGGCGCGTCTACTGTCCTGACATCCAGCGATATCAAGTCACTGACCTGATGTGGCTATTATATCATGGTCACTTGACCGAATTTGGGTATGGTAAATACCCAATCGTACCTATTTGGTCAGGCTTCGGCCGCATATAAGGCTAGTTTGTTCTCGCTATAACTATTTTGGCTTGACTATTTCGCGCCAAAATAAGAACCGTGGCTCGACCAAACTCGCCTGGTATATCAAGTATAAATATTCATTTCTTTTTTTTAAGTTAAATTTAAAAAACCGCTCTATTACCTTATTATCATTTTCATCATTTACAACTCTAATAGGGTAACGATTTCCCCCGATTCCACCTCCAGCTCCATTCGACGGAGCTACAATCGCCGCTGCAGTGGAAATAAGGAGAATGAAAGCAACCGTGACGAGCCTCTTCATTGTTCTTGTTTCTCAGTTATTCTGTCAAAAACCCACCAATAATTGTATCACGGCCAAGTCAAAATTTGTAATTTTACCTACATACAGCTATGTAATTAATTCAGGTGCTAACTTAAATCAAAGCAACATGTGATCTCTAGTTTGTAAACTCTTCTTCCCTCTAGTGTTCAGTGAAAATTTGTGATTTTCTTTTTTGGTAGCGAAATAAATTTTATTTGTCGATCACTTCGGATCGTACAAAAAGACTGATGAAATTTTAGGAATAAAAATATTTCTTAATTAATGACGTTTACAAATATGACTAAAGCAAGTGATAAATACTGATAACAGAGGTAGATATATATTAATTGAATCTGTAATCGTGTGGACGGAAAACATTATGTAGACAGAGCTTTTTTCTCGCGTTTTTAAATCTCTGCGGCCCAGTGTGGACGGAAAACATTTGATGCGTTTGGAGAGTGAAAACGCCGTTTCCAAATTTCTCCGGCGTAGTGTAGACGGAACCTCATTTCGTGACATTATTCATGAGCAAACGTTAAATAAAAGTAAGTTTCTCAAAGGACAAAAGCCAGCCAATTAATATTATCAAACGTTATTTGGCTTCGACCACAGATCTTTCTTTTGCGTTGTTTTAATGTTGTCATTAACATTCAGGGTTTCTGTTTGAACGAAGTTAGTCGGCACTTTTTTGTTTTAATTTATCTACATAAATCTCTCCTTTAACATCATCTTCCGTCTTTGTTGAACCATGGGACGCCTAATGCCTCAAAGGTAAATTCTGCAATGGTTGGATGTTGTCCAAAGGTAAATTCTGCGTCGAGCCCAGCGGTCCATACCGCTTGAACTTTCCGTGATCTTATCCCGGTTCTATAGCATGAAGAGGCTAGGAATATTTCTAATCCCCCGTGGTCCATAGCAGAGTTATTCTCCAGCAATAAATCCAGTGGTATCCTTAAGAGAGGCTCTGTGACAGTAAAGCCGGGTCTCACTCAAGAACACAACACAATGGCCCAGCGAGGACTGGGACTCGAACCGCTCAATTCGAGGTCCAGTGTGTTAACTATTAAACCACCGCGCCACGTAATACAAATCTCCCATTAATAGTCACAAATTCAATTCCTCAGCCCGCTCTTCTCTGCTACTTTATCAAGTTCTCCCCGCACTTTCAATTAGTTTACTTATCACTCGGCTTGTAAGTCCGTGAATGAAGGTTGATATATATACAAACCGATTGCATAACATAAGGAAATGTAAGTTGAATAAAGGTTGATATACAAACCCTATGCATAAAATGACATAAAATGTACGAATCATTAGATAAAAGATGATAAAAAGTCAAGGGGCACTGACCGAGGAGCCGCTCTTAAAAAATGCAACGAGAAAAATTTTTCAAATAATTGCACGACTAATAATTAAGTTTCATTCGTTTTTTTTTTTCGGGCATTTCAATGTCGACACAAAGTGCTGTACCTAAAAACGGAACATTTTATACGCACAGATAAAAGAAAATTGAAAGTAGAAAGATAACAAAAGCCCCCGGGACTCAAACGAGTGTTCATATCAGGAGCTATGACGGGAACTTGGTACTAAACGATAACGTGGGGTTGTTAGTCCCTTAAATTTCCCAACAACCAGTTTTATTTTCTGCCGGGATCCTCAATAACTTTGACGAGAAGCTTGTTGGAAATAAAGACGTAATATTGCAAAGCGAGGCACAGTGTTTCAGAAAATTTTCAATTTCCTATGGAAAATTTATTTTTTCAAAGTAATTTTTTACTGTCCTTACGTTGACTAATGTAAGCTACTTAAATCAAAAGAGCGGCTTTTGCAGAGAAACAATCTGTTCAAAAGCATGACTTACCGTCCTCAACTGATCAAATTTTCCGGCTTTGAAGTCACCACTATCGTGATTAGCTGACCTTCTCTCCACGTTAGGTTTCTGTGGAAAACTGAATGCAATATGTGGCTTTCTAATTTTAACCATCTTTGTTGTTTAATTAACAGAAACAAAATTGACAGCTGAAAATTGGGAAAAAAGTTACTAAAAGTTAGATGACAGCTGTTCAGACTTGAGTCTGTCGGTAGAGCAGAGAGACTACGCATGCCTAGTAGCATTTGTTTAGGGCAGGCTTCTCAATGTTTACTTAATGAAAATTTTTTGTTAATTCAACTTTAGGTGTTTTGTTGTGGTTGAAAAGTACGCTAAATGCTCACAATTTTTAACAAAAGTTGACAAAGGCTGCGAATTAATTGAGTTTGTCAGTTGTTACCCAGGAAATCAGCTTTTCAGTTTAGAACTTTGCCGTGACGAAACGTGATGTCCAGACAGATCAATTGTGTCCGTTTAAAGAGGGTCTCAATGGGATAACCATCACCCGTCAAACGGCCTAAAAATTAACTGTCAATCGTCAAATAAGTTATCGTAAACCGTCAAATAAGAGATCGTTTACTGTCAGCCGTTAAACAGCCGAAAATGTAACCGTCAACCGTCAAAAAGTTATAATTTTTTAACCTTGAAGGGTCGAAGGTAATATATGACTAGCTGTATTATTAGTTGCCTTGTATCAAAATAACCATTTAAGGACATTTCTTCTACCTTAGTCGTGCCAAATACTCTTATATTACGTATACCCAGCAACCAGATTTCTATTTGCTTATTTACTAAGTAAAAAGGCATTTAGTTTCTTTGTAATTAATTTTCTGTCATTTGCGATGATTTAAGTATAGGTAATCATACGGTTTCGAGTTCAATTTGGAATTAATTTGCACGAGTGAGTTTTTCAAA